CCATGTCATACACTGACCTCCTCTCCGCTTTCTCCAACCAGTCCCAGAGTCGGCAAATATTGCACGACGTGGAAGCCTCTGGGACGACATTCGTAAAACATGTCCAAGCCACCGAAGTCGGTGTTTCAAGATGGTGACACCAATTGAATTATCGTCTCTGCGCCCCAACACACGATACCGAACCTCTGCATTACTAACATGGTGTTGCCACTGAATGTCAGCAATCCTTCGGAGACAACGATGATCGAACACAGAGAGACGTCTAACATCCTCAACTCGGAGAGACCACATAAGTTAATGTTCAATAAGTGTGTGCCAACGACAACTTATTTCCTGTTTCTATACAATACATAAATACGAGTAATGGAAAACAAAATCTGACCAACTAAACAAGCGATTCCAATAATTATCAGTATTGATTACATGATGGAAATCTACCTTTTTATCTTTGTAAAGTATCCATAGGTTAGTGATTTTTAAACAGTGAAAACGATGTTGAATGTAGTACATTGTACGTCAGATTGTTTGATAAGAAATATCGGTGCTTTGGTTAAGGCCTGATTTCGTAGCCGCTTCTAATATACCCTAGACTAAATCTACGCGACAGCTTGAAAACAGAAGTAAAGGTGCGAAGTTTTTGTGCAGTAAATCAAGGGTATTAATAGAATTACACAAAACCTTGAGCTTCTGTAATCATACTAAATAGAGTATCAGTATAGTTAAATATAAAGTTAGAAATGTGACACGTAGCTCTTCCCTTTTTTGATGTTTGTGAGAAGCTTCTATTTAACGCTGATCAGATAAAGGGTTTTTGAACGTTTTCTTAGCCCTTACGGACTTTTCCAAGAAACATTTTGTGACCTCTCACAAATATCTTTGGAGATAGACTTTAGAATCGATCCCACATTTACTTCTATATTCAAACTTGTCCATAAATCTTGAGTTAGAAAGAATGATAAAACTAGTGAAAAGCAAATAATGCAAATCTCGAAACTGTTCATTATTTTTGTAGATCAAAATTTTCAAAGAAATAATTCATTTATCCTAGCACTTTAATGCCTCTTTGAGAAGTGGTCGCATTTTATTAATCTGGATTGTAGGTTATTAATGTAAAGTATCAATTTCGAGCTAATAACCTTTAGGGAGATATTGCTTTTACATCTTTGAAAGATAAAACTAAATAATCCTCGTTTATGCTCTATTGTTTTCCGTTGTTGTGTTTAACGTTCTCCATGAGAAGAAATAAAATTTGAAGATTCAACAACTCGTTTTCGGTTTTATAGAAGAATATTGCTTACATTTTGAAATAACTCAAGATTTTCAGTGAGTCTCCTCTTTTTCCAAAGAGAGCAATCAATCGCTGATGGTTTAGACAACAAAGTAACATAATAGTCTGTCTTAGTAATTCATTTCACCATAATCTCACTTTGTTATCACCTCGTTTTTATCATCTATAATCAGACTATAAGCCTAGGCAAAATCTGGAAGGTTTTCATCTTTAAATAGAAATTTTCCACATCCAGCCATAATATTAGATTAGATATTGAGTCTACAAACATTTATACCTAAGGGGTTAATCAATAAAAGCGAATTCTGAGCATTACAATATGTTACATATTCAGACAAGTAACATTGGAGTGGATTATAATTCCTATTCACTTAATAAAGCCATATTGTGATGATTAACTGAAAGAGCATATCCTTACTTCCAGTTCGATTTACAATAATGTTGATAATGTATGTACCCTTTTCGTATTACGTGTCCCAGTTACTGATTAAAAGTTATACCTTTGATTGAAACTTCGTATGTAAAATACCGTTGATATTGTCGAAGGAGAATAATGAACCGAAACTTATAAAGTTTGGATTACTATTGATGATGATAGTTTAATGTACGACACTTGAATCACTCTAAATAAATCTTAAGTGATGACTAATTTTATTGTTTTTTTTAATCAAGAAATCTAGTTTTTTTGTATCACGTATCATCATGTAATGTACATCCATAGTATGCGAATACATTATTATATATATATGTGTGTGCTTGTATGTGTTGTACATAAGAAAGTATCTATGTATCTAGGATACACTTAGACATTTTTTTACATATCCTGATAAATAATTTTTAATTAGATTTTATTAAATCAAACAGAATGATTCATCAAACACTTGCTATATGGACCCCCTTTGTGTATGTATGTGTGTGTGTGTGTTTAATTTAGTTATTTATTTGTCTGTTTGACAAATCTTTTGAAATCATGTACAAAAGTATTGTGAACACATATTTGGACGAAATTCAAACAAAATGAAAATAATATTACCGTACTACTTCATGGTTCATTCTTTTCTCGAATGATCATTATGTTATGTAGGTAGAAATAACTGGATTACACTAAACCTACTATACATATGAAAAGACAATGAAATATGTGTTATATTAAAAAAAAACTCAGACTATATAGACTGTAAATGTCATGTTTACATGTTGATTCATCGGTAGTTTTGTAATTTACAATACTCGTTTGTTTCTTTATTACGATATAAAGTGACTGGGTTGATTTCGACACAAAAATCAATTGCGTATATATTAGAATGCTACAATTGAGCTCGGTGATTTAATAAATGGATAATATTTTTGGCATGTTATATCCCGATATCCATTGGAACACTTAGTCGATTCAAAACATAACGTAGAATTTACAAGAGCAAAGAATTCAGAATGATGTTGATGGAAGTGGTGACCCCTTAAACATACGAAATATATTCCTTAAGAAGTCGATGACATTGGCGAGTAAAAATTTACAAATAATATTCTAACTCAAGATTTATGGACAAGTTTGAATATAGAAGTAAATGTGGGATCGATTCTAAAGTCTATCTCCAAAGATATTTGTGAGAGGTCACAAAATGTTTCTTGGAAAAGTCCGTAAGGGCTAAGAAAACGTTCAAAAACCCTTTATCTGATCAGCGTTAAATAGAAGCTTCTCACAAACATCAAAAAAGGGAAGAGCTACGTGTCACATTTCTAACTTTATATTTAACTATACTGATACTCTATTTAGTATGATTACAGAAGCTCAAGGTTTTGTGTAATTCTATTACGAATCCTAATATTATCTTGAGTGCAAATTAAACACATAATTCAGTGGTTTGAAAGCAGATGGTGTAGTCCATAAACCATCATCACTCTATAAACTTCAGTCGGGTAAAGATGTATTTTTTACTGACATTCATTCAAATATATGAAATGATCCTAATACCAAGATTTAAAAAATTTCGAATGAATATAATTGCAATTTTAATAGTTGAGTTCATGAGTCAATTGAAGCTAGACCACCATGGAAAACCTGGAAGTATTGGACGGCCGTTTCGTCCTATTGCGGGACTCCTCAGCAGTGCGCATCCACTATCCCGCACTCGAGAGATTCGAACCCAGGATCTATCAGTTTCGCGCGCGAGCGCTCAACCACTAGACCAATGAGCCGGCATCCAACGGTGTTAATATTTCGTGGATGCGTACTGCTGAGGAGTCCCATAATAGGACGAAACGGCCGTCCAATGCTTCCAGGTTTTCCATGGTGGTCTAGCTTCAATTGATTCATGATTTCAACTATTAAAATTACTATAATATCCACAAAACCCCTTCTTATAAGAATATAATTGTATCATTTTGATTAATTCTAGGCAACACCATTTAACATTACAAAACAGAGGTTAAGATTATTCCAAAGGAGTTCTAACCTAGATCTCTGTATCTCCCAATGTGGTTAATTTTAACAATTAGTGGAGTTATAAACAAACTGACGTCAACAAATCATTATTCGTAAAAAAGAATATATCAACTAAGGCATAGAAAACTAGAATTTATACTTTAGAAAGCAACAAACAATATATGATATCATTGTCATTTTGTGTATAGAAAATAAGCAAAGAAATTTGATGAGTGAATGACCTTTTTAATTATTTAAAAGAATTGATAAACCTATTGTGAAATGTATACTTTACTCAATATATGTTTCCCACCTAATAAACATATATATACACACACACACACATAAATTAACTTGTACAACAACAAACATACAAGATCTTGTCATAAAACAGGTTACATAAAATAAACAAATCGATTTTTTAACTGCTCAACATTTCAATGAAATCAATCAATTTACAATAAAGACTAAAAGAATAAAAAGAAGGAGGAAAAGATAAACATTTTCATAAACATAAATGAAAATGTTAAATTGTAGTTTACTATTTTATGATTTAGAAAAGCGTTTATCATTAGAGACTACAATTGATAAGAAATCTCATCCATTAATTATGAGTATTATTATTATTCATTATAAGCAAATATGAATGGCGGCTAGCAGTGGAATCTCGAACGCGTTTCGTTCTATTTAGGATTCACCAGCTGGCACAGGTACATCCAGCTGACGAGTCCTGAGTGGGACGAAACGCGCGTTCTGGATTCCGTTGCTAGCCACCATTCATCTATGCATATAACGCTCGTAACTTAAGGCAATATCGAGGCAATCCGCACCAATGAGAGACTGACCAACTGAAGTTCTGAATGTCAATGGGAAGATACAAACAATCAATGCCAAAATGAATTATTATAATTCCTGTTTTCATTTTCTAATGAATTACAAAAAGTACTGATAAAAATCGAATGAGTAACTAACTTTTACATTTTTGGCCAATTATAAATCTAAACAAAGGAAGAACTATAGGGTCCGATGACGATGTTGGATTTAGGGGGAAGCACACAACTACTACTACTTATATCGGCAAAAGTAGTATAAGCTTCACCACATGCTTGTCTTAAACGTCATTCACGTGTTTTTCTTACATTAAACGTCTTACTAAATGCTTGTGAATGTAGTAAAATATCAAGATTTCAAACCATTTCCCACATAATTAGTCAATTGAATGAAAAGGAAATTGTATATTCATACACACACATACACGAAGAAGGAATAACATTCAAAGAAAAAACTTACTTCACCAAATGCTCCTTTACCAATTATTTTAAGAGGTAGAAAATCATCAACTGTGAGTCGTGCTCGTTTAAGTCGAAGAAATTCACTTTCTTTGAGAGCATGCTGTGTACGTTTGATTTGTTTCTACAAAACAATGTGTATGCAACAAGATATGAGTGTAGACAAAATGAATATTATTGAGATGCAAAACACGAGGCAATAATCATTTCAAACGTGAAAAGATAAAATTCCATCTCGTTTGTTTATTTATTTACTAATTATTGATAATGATCGAGTTAGAACAATCGAGTTAGATAATTGATACTTATTAAAACAAATTAAAAAAAATTATATCGACAATTTCAAGGAAAATATAGCGCCTTTTTAAAACTTTAACATTGTAGCTTTGTTTATTTACTTCATTTTAATGACTCCCCTACTTATTCACTGTATTGTTGATGTGATTATGGCACAAGATAAGAAATTGTCATTTAGTATTGTTTGTTTGAATCTTCCCATCGATGTGTTAGGACTGCAACTGGTCAGTCTCTAATTGGCATATGTGCATACTGTGCGTATTGCCTCGATATAGCCTTACCATATATATCTCTTACCTAGAAAAAAAAACGATTTCTAACTCATAGGATATGGCTAATGTTCGGTAAATTTGAACTTTATTTGATCATATCAAGTAACATGAGCCAATTTTTTTTTAAAGGTTTGAAATGTATGAATTCAGTTGGAATAGAAAGTTTGCAACAAAAATGTCGATGACATGATAAATAAACGACTGAAAACTTCATGATGATGTAATACAGAATATCAATATGAACAAAGTATTTTCTTTTCGTAAATTGATATTTAAACTTTTTAAATGACAATTTAAATTACAACTTCAAAGTGAACTTTAAAACTACAGGGAATTCATAATTTCTGCGTTATTCAATACACGGTTGAGAGACGTTGGTTGATGCTGCAATATTAAAACTACAGTTCACCATTTATACGATTAGATTCAGTACAGATGTGGGTAACTAAATGATAAATAATTATTTATTACTTAGCTGTGGAATCCAGATAGCTACAGGCTTGCGAAATGAGGTGAAGTTTAACTAGTCTTGTATTGGTTATTTGAATCTGCCCATTGATGTTTAGGACTGTAATTGATCAGTTTCATATTGTCATGCACACATCCTGTGCAACCTCTGTTTATGATGCTTGTAAATTAAGGTAATCTGCATGGGATGCACATATGCCAACAAGAGAGTGATCAATTGAAGTCCTGAACGTCCATGTGAAAATTCAAACAACTAATATAAGATGAATTTATTTTTTTCTAACTAGTTTTTATTTTGTTTTATATTTTTCCAAAGTAAGTAAAACATGAATTTACTATAATCTACAAAAATCATTTGACAGAAAAACATGTTTGTAAGGAAGTAACAAATATATATAGAGACCTTATCAAATAGAGGAAAAAATGCTATATATGTTGTTTATGAGAAATCTGTAAGGTTGATAAAATAAGTTTTGAAATCCCGAACATTTTATTTTGTTTCAGTGACTCGTTATTATTGCTGGAACTTCCTATAGATTCTGGACTCTGCAGTAACAAATATAATTACGAAGAGTCAAGCCTTGCAGAGCGGAAACATTTATAATTGGTTGATCACTGGTTAATGACTAATGTCATGTGTGTCAGGTCCTTCTTCGTGGAGGTAGAATTTTATAGACCAAGATGCAACATGGCCACTTCTATGTGACTCGACATCAATCAATTGTAAATACATCCCAGTTTTATAGGAGATCAGTCGCAACCCAGATAGCACAATGGTAGCATCTCTGACTGTGAACCTGAGTTACGCGGAATTGTATCTGTCAGGAAGCATCAGTCCCTTCAACATTGCAGGTACACATTACTGATGACGGTCAAATCGCACGAAGGCAAGGTCCAGGGCTTCCTGTCGACTACCTTCAACCACCACTTTACAGGAAACACGAGTTTTAAGTATACATTTTTATACGCTAGTAGTAGTATCTCAAGTGGTATGAATTGGTGTTTATGAAAAAGCCTAAGTAATTATGTACTTTCGAACTAGTTAAAAAATCTATAAACAACCGAGAAAATACCGAGCTTATTAATGGGGAAAACCAATCAACATTAAAAATGCCAATATAGACCAGTAAAAAGAAACACAACACACGTAACATAATTTTTTTCGACTTGGAAATAATTGATTAGACTTAGCTGTCTAATGCAGAAAAATAAATATTTATATAGACAAATATTTCTCTATGTTAATCATATAGTACTAAGAGATATGTGCGAGGAGAAATGATAAAATACCAGGAAAATAGGTTTGAGGAGCGAGGCAATAATAACATAAGACAGTCAGGTAGTTATTAGGAACGTAGAACCTTGTATATATCTCTGTAGGTTCACGTTCCCATACTACTATAGAAATGACATGAGTGAGGAGTCAGTCATGTAAGATGAATTCAACAAGCTCTTATTATTTCCTAGTAGATAGTGATTATTCACGATGAAAAAAAGACTATATGGAATGATTAACACTGACTTCAATTATGATTTATGTCTGAATTGATATGAGTATCAAGAATTCCCGAATTTCACTCAAGAAACACGTTAAAGTCTTATTCCGTGATATTACGTCATAATGTAACCAGTTACTCAATTTCTTTAATCAATATTAGAACTTTCAGACGAGGTAATCGAAAACTAATGTTTAAAGACTAGATCAATCCTACTCGAATTCTTAGAGGTCACACGGAAGCTTATATAACATGAATAACAAAAATGGTAAACCCAGAGGAGTAATATTTGAACAAAGATAACTGTTCAACATTCTGAGCCTTAAAAGATCATGTCTCAGGATCAGAAGAGAATTGTGATTATTGAAAGGTTTTACGGTCAGACAAATGTAACGATGAATAAAGGTGATACCACTTGAAGCACCTACTTCACAGTTTTCATTTCTCTACCCCACATCTTCCTCTTGCCGTCAAACTTTAGAGCTATGTTAATACAATATGTAACAACTTGGATCGATACATATTTGTTATCGTAGTTTTATGTTGTTTATGAAAACCAGGAAACAACCAAACAGAAGTGTTCGCAAGTACAAACAACTAAGAGCTTCGAGAAAAGCTGACAGAGAAACAAATTGACAAACAATTACCTTCAACTAGTTTAAATGAATTAATAGGTACAATCATCTCTATATATAGGTGTGTGATCTTAATATATTGAGTTCTCATAAGACTAAATTATTAATGTAAGTCCCTAAACGGACAGATATCTGAAGGAAACAAAGATGCTTGATTACAAAAGACTAACGAGGATACATACTCAAAATCGTGTACAAAAATAAAGATGATGAAAAGTCAGCCAAAGGATAAAGGATTAAAACATATGGATTTAGAGAGTTCCTTTAGTGCCAACAAAATCATGATTTAACTATCAGGTTCTAATGCTTGCCCAAGATATCACAGGTTCATCGAAATAAAGTTACTTGTAGGTTTTACTACAAGTAATACTTTAAAAAAATTATCATATTACATATTATGACAGTTGGAAACTATTTATACATGACGGATCACATTAACTATTAATCTATAATTATTCTGCACTCTTATATATCATTCTTCGTATTTCGTTTAAAATTTATAATGTACTATGCCCAATATTCTAATTTACCCAATTGTAATGAATATTCTCATTGATTTAGTTAATATAAACGTTCCGTGTTTTAAACTATTAATCAATACAAATTGTGTAGATAGCTATATCAATTTTTATTCAAATGAACCAAAAAAAATTGTTTACATTTTGTGATTATGTTAGGTCATTTAGTTGTTTACTTATAAACACAAACACAAAAACATGTGAGTACAACTTAAATATATCTTCTTTGATGGATTTCTGTATGAGAGTAAAATAGGAATAACGATTAAAATAAAATCAGAAGGGATTTTGTGGAGATTTCAGTATTTTTCATAGTTGCAATCATGAGTCAATTGAAGCTAGACCACCATAGAAAACCTGGAAGTACTGGAAGGCCTTTTCGTCCTATTATGGGACTCCTCACCAGTGAGCATCCACAATCCCGCACTCGCGAGATTTGAACCCAAGACTTACCAGTCTCGCGCCAGAGCACTTAACCGATAGACCACTGAGCTAGCATCCAACGGTGTTAATGTCTAACTTCAACCAATCCATGAAGTTTGAGCAACCGTTCACCAATTGTCTTCAGTGAGTTGTTATCTAACAACAGACGTGGTTGAACTCCACTGGTCATTGCTTCTCACTAGAACTCCAGGACATATATCTTGAAGTCAGTCACTAGTGGGCATATGATTATAATTAGAAAGGGTCCTGGGTTCGAATCTCGTGAGGCGGGATCGTGGATGTGCACTGCTGAGGAGTCCCATAATAGGACGAAACGGCCGTCCAGTGCTTCCAGGTTTTCCATGGTGGTCTAGCTGTAATTGACTCATGATCTCAACTATGAAAGATTAAAATATACGGTGTTGTTTATATGTATATAGTTCAAGGTAATTTTTCAAGCAACTACATTTGATAATAAAAACAATTGTTGAAATATGAAATTTATCCAGAACAGGAAACTACAGGTGATTCGACAAAATCTTTAGAAAAATATAAATACATACGACTGTATTCATGAAACTCAGTAACCGAACATGGCTTCTAGAGCTTATCTTTGAATTACACTCTTTGTATTAGTGCTAATAACAATACTATCTGGTTTCCTAAACAAGGTTGTAAGTGGAGCCAGAGTCAAATTCACAACCCCGTCGTCGAAATTTAAGGAATTTAATTAGTAAGCTATCATTCCATCAAAACTTTTATACAATCAGCAATCAAAATTAAAGGTCACAGGTTTAATTTATATGCTGCTAGCATTGTGTAGGTTTATCGTAGACGGAAGCTATAAGTATGTACAGAATATCTTTAAAGTGAAATTCATTGTTAATAAATAAGTAACATTGGTCCCAGTTTCATTGAACATGATAACTCTTGTTTTCTTAATTTAAGATTATTAACATGAGTTAAATGAAATCTTGTTCGGGAAGATAAAATATTTGACTGCTAAACCAGTAGCTATTTCGTATGCACTCGAAAATCAACGAACTGGTCAAATCTGATAAAATAAAAACGAAGGGAAAACCAAGTGAAGGACAACACACAATGTATTACCTTCAAATATATGATTTCTTTAAAATATCCCAGATGAAAGTTATGCTAGTTATCATTTGAGACTGTTAAATGAAGATCTATATATCGTAGTAGGTTACAATTGTAACAAACTATCATCAATACATATATGTATTGAAACTAATATGATCATTTAAAGTATTCAGCCGAAATTGCAGGTGAAATCAAGAACAGATTGATACGTATTTTAGAACAAACTATAAAATGCCTTACATAACGCAGCAGGTAGAATATTTTATCCCTTTGATGAAACCTCATATTTTATCGGTTAAAAAAATAAAGCTTTGTTATCGGTAAATGCTGGAATATAGTAAAATTTTTATAAAACCAAAAAATGCCTACTTGTTCTTCTGTTAAGCCTTCACTTTCCATCATTGACTCTAAAATCTTGTACCTGTTAGTAAGAAATAATGAAAAAAAGAGAAATATTAACAGTATTGTACTGAGAGCAGAAAATGCCACTTTCCATGATAAATACTACACTAATATGAAAACCAGTTATATTAAATGCCTATTAGGTTGGTAGTTCTATTCTAATTTCACTTATGAAAAAGTATAGAGATTAAGATAGTATCCCTAGTGTTCACATGTAAATTATGGCTCACTGACAAGTATCCGAATTTTTACTTTATGAGGCGGTAATATTGGCCTATCAATCATTAGCATTTATTACCCAGATTTGTATTAATCTGTCTAAAACAGTGAACTTTTCAAACAGTATGAGTAGGGGCTGAACTATGTGTTGGATGAAATAAACAAAGGAAAACAAAATTCGTAGTCGTCATGATTAAAAAGTGATGGAAAATCACAAAAGTATATGTTTATAAAAACACTTAGTGATCAGATTTTACGCAGAAAGCAAAAACAAATTTAGGGACCATCATTCGTTTGAATGATCGGCTGACATGTTGGTTAAGTCAGTCAAACAGACATATATATATATATATATATATATATATATATATATATCGGTCCAAGTTTCCACACCTCATTAGCACAAGATCAACACCGAATTCATAAAGCAGTTACTTCAATCGTAGTGATATATAAAAAAAAATTGTGTATAAGGATACGATACAGGAAGAGAGAATTAGTTCGTAGAAATAAAAGCATAAAGTAATTTTAATCTCACTCTTTAAAAGAAGACAAAGTGTATACACCTACTCCATTGTGATCGATTCTGGACCATGTTACACAGAGTCTCCAACCATTGGTTACAACAGTCGCACGGACCCCAACCAAGTAGTCTGCATCTACCAACATGGCTCAGACTAGAAGTGAGTGACTTCAAACCCTGATTCCACATTTCAGTTTGGCCGCCCCTAACCTTTCATCTGTCTCTAACACTAGTCAGCATTGCGCGACGTGCTAATCGGTGTTCAGGCGTACGTAACATGTGGCCCAACCATCTCAGTCAGTGGAGATTTACGACCTCATCAACTGATTTATCATCACATACTAATATCCTGTGTCTAATCTGACTATTACTTTCCCGATGATCACAGAAGATGCTGGTAATATTTCTAAGAAATATATGATCTTAGTGGCCACGGTTCGCAGTCGTGGAGTAGAACAGAACGAACTGCCGCAAAGTATGATCGTCCTCTATTAATTGATAGACGGACATCTCGCCTTCGCCATAGGTCACGTAAGTTGGCAGAAGCCGAATGAGCTTTTCGAATCCGTGCACAGACACCAACCCATTAGGGCTGACCAAGCTCCCAAGAATAGTGAAGTTGTCGACGCATTCGACCACTTCACTCCCTATCCTTAGTTCAGATGTTGATGTAGGCCAGTCCTGAAGCAACAATTCGCATTCGGAAGAGGGAGAAACGCCATAGGCTCTGAATCGACTAGTAGTGTTCGAGTAAAGAGCGTTCACAAGGTTGTAAGTAATGCAGATGTTAGGAAACGGGTGTTAGGTAAGGATGGCAAATCGATTGATGAAGTAGTGAAAATTCATCATCTGCCAGGGAAGTCCTACTCACTGCCTTCTCGTGGCGGGGGTGTTGTTTACGAAAGTGAGAGGACGAAAAGCGAATGTCCGGCCCTTTAACCGGGTTGGTGGACATGGAGGGTCCACCTAGGGGAGTTGGAAAACCCTGATTCCAAACCAGTGGTGAACATGGGCTCCAGTATCCTGAGGGAACAGATGGCGTACGAATCAACCGTTGATCACCGACTACCATGGGACTGCATCTCCTCACGATGTTCCACTGCCTTGTGGATCAGGTCAAAGGCTCCGGTTGTGGCCCCCTAAGAAAACCACCTGCTTCAGTCTGGGCGCCTGAGCAGTATCACAGCCCTCACACAAATCGAATGAGATTTGTGAGGCGCATATTTATCTGGTGCTTCCTTGTACCATTATTTATGCGTTTAAATAAATAAATCAGTTGAGATGGCTGGGACATGTGTTACGTATGCCCGACCACCGACTGCCCCGACGTGCAATGCTTTATGGTGTAGGAGCAGGTTGGAAGAAAGCTAGGGGTGGCCAGACCAAAACATGGCATAAATCCATGAGGTCACTGACAAGTGGACTGGGCCATGTTGGTAGGTGTAGACTACCTGGTTGGGATTCATGAGATGATAGCAACCGATGGTTAGAGACCTTGAATGACATGGCTCAAAATCGTTTGCAATGACGAAGGTGCATCCACTCTTTGTGTTCTACCAAATTCTAATCTTCTGAATTCTTCATGTCTGTATCCTTTTTCTCTTTCCAAATTTATTTCATTGTATTATACTCCTTCAATAACATCTTCAAACCCTAATCTTTCCGATTACTGCTTATACTCTTACTACTTCTACCATTATGGGATTTGAATCGACAACTTCATCACTGTGCTAATGTGGTATGGCAACTCGAACTGATGTACGTACGTACGAAGTTCTACGTTGTATCTGACTGACTGACTGTTCACAAGGTTTATGTACTTCTCAGGTACAACTTTCAATGACAAACTGCCACAGAGCCCCTCGGTCTACAGAGTCAAATGCTGCTTTCATTTCAAGAAAACTATCATTGTGGGACGCCAATAAGCATGCCTGTGTTCCAAAACCTAACGAATGGTGAATATGTGGTCGATACAGCCACGACAAGGTCTGGAGTCTGACTGATTTTCTCGTGTTGGCAGTTTACGAGTCTTATTTAGGCGCCCGATACTTATTGAGGCTAGTATTTTAGATGCTATGTTAGTCAAACTAATCCCTCTATGGTTATCACAGGATCATTTTGACCCCTTCTTATAAGTGATTGTGACCAGTCAGATGGACTTACGTCCAACTCCCAGATTTTAGCCAAAATATTAGTCAACCTAATCGCTAAAACCGGACCACTATCCTGAAAGACCTCTGGAGCCAATCATTCAGGACTAGCTGTTCTTCCTTGTTTCATACTAGTTAATTAATGAAACATAAGCATTTAATATTCCATAGCATTTAACGTTTGAGAATGTCAGCCTTCTCCAACTTATTTTAGAGACATAGGGGAGTGTTATGTTAGCTAAATGTAAACAAATTACATGGGCCTATGTAATTTGGTCACATTGAGAAAATTTAAATAGCAGTCAGAAGATTCATATGTAAATGATTGGAATTTTTAGAGATGGGTCAAAGGGATTCGTTTTTTTTAAATGTGCAAATGTATGGATCATTTTCACAAGACAAAACATTTTGCACCGTATGATAAATTCACATTTTATTTTTCACCACAGGAAATTACTTTATTAGTGTTTCTACATCTTAGTGACTAATAGATACAGTAGAGAGGATTTTTCACTCAAAACAAGATTTGAATCCTTTTAGACTTTAAACGCTATAAGTGAACATATTTAAGATTACGGTTCGTCAGCATAGTGATGACTAACTATCTAACATCAAACAAAGTACACCACGTGTTATATCTGGTTGTCGCCGGAATCGCTTATCATTTATACTTGTAAAACGTGGAACCACTGCAATCCCACGACGCGAAAGCAAGAACGCGAAGACTGGTACAAGTGAAAACTTATTAACCTCAAAACATGATCACGACCCTAGTCAAAAATATACGCATTTATATATTGAATTGTACACCCATTTTGATTAATAATTAGGATGAGGTCACGTGTACAAAAAATACTTAGCTATAACAATTCATATGCTGAGTGTCATGCTGAGCATAGTTCATGTTAATTTAATACAACAATATCGTATCTTGAAAAAAAATCACAGTGAATAAAAGGATGTAATTCCGCTTTTTAATTCTATCATATCACTACGACAACCAGTGGCCTAGACTAGTGGTCGCACTGCGGCCAGATCGTTAGGAATCTGTCAGAACTATGGATTGAACATGAAAACAGTAAATAGTTCATGGCCAACCAGTGTCAATATATCAACTTTACAGGGTTTTAGACTCTAACTTAAGTTCATAGGCTTGGATTGTAGGGTAAACATAGGTTTCATCTAGATAAGCCTTGTTCATGAATCCCGAATAGTACGAAATCCAGGTTTAGAGCTTCTGGTCGATTGCCTTCAACCACCTGACATAATACATAGATCAACTTGATTATTACAGTATAGTGATAACATTAAGTATACTTTTTCGAAATCTAATAATTTAGAAAATTGAACAGACACTATATTAACACCCCTAGGTATGAAATTATTACCTTAGAAATAAAATTACGTGTACACATATAACTACTGTAATAGTATAGTCATTGCTGTTATTTCATTTATTCACACATTACATCCGAATTTATAGCAGATGCATAAAATAATTTAGTAATTACACGTAAGTTTATATTTTAAGCAAAACGTTACATTTATTTTATGATGGTTTGCAATTTTTCGTAATCGCTGCAACAAAGCAAGGTGGAATGGAGTTTGAAATGTTGATCTAGTGAATGAAAAATGAAAGAATGGACTACTGAGTCGTAAATCCATCTAACTAATTGTTACAATGTATCAATTTACTTTTAAATATTACTTTAAGACGAACTCACCTATTTTGACGTTCTCGATATTGAACAATTAAATTGTCATAGTAATATTCCAATGTAACTTTTGCAACTTTTACTTTATCCAATGTATGACTACTAACATTCAATGAATTTATGGAGGGATTTGTACGATTTAATGATGTGGTAGAAGATGATGATGTCAAATCACCACCGCCACCGTTTATAACTTGACTATTTTTTGACATTGAAATAATATCAGGTTTCATTAATGTAGTAAGGGGATCGGTTGTTAAACTGAGATTACTATAAGGATGTGAACTTGCGGTTGACATGGTTTTTTGAAATTATTTTCACCGTTTCACTTTTAGCAAAATTACATTTAACCTCATTGATAGACAACGGTTGCTTGAGTAAGGAAAAACAAAAGAACCACAACATTCGGAACTTTACAATTGAATGCAACACGATAATAGTAAATCATTACTTTAAAATTACATACATAACTTATTTGTCCCGTAAACTTACGCTGATGCAATACATAGCTGCTTTCGAATTCCATTAGCTACTCATAGTTAAATGTTGTTAATTTATAGCCAGTTTTATGAGTAGCTCCGCCTGGAGCCCTTCCCGAGTTACTACTACTAGTCCCATGTCCAGGCAAGAGAGGGTACTATTAGTGATTTGTTTTAACTAACCTGGTTTTAACATAAATTATCACTATACAATAAGAGATCCTGAATTTACTGTCAGCTTTTGTTATGAGAAGTTAATGGTATTGGCAAATTTACGGATCTGTATTTACAAAGAATATTACAAGAGAAAATGCTTACTGAGTGCTTTGCTTAAAATCTTCATAAGACTCATTAACAATTACGTTATGTAAAACGGAGGCTTGATGGGTAGAACTCGTTTACTTAATTTATAATACCTAGTGAATATTACCACCAGTGTATCATTTCGCCAAACACGGCGTTACATAGAAATGACATAGAACAATGATACTAAAATGTTACGAAATAAAGTGGTCGATTGCAGTTTATTGAGGAAAATAAAAACAGTTTATGGTGTTTGTAAAACAGACCTGTTATTAAACCTTTTAAGCGAATAACTAAGAATTTCAGGACTAAAACTACAAATCACTACCTCAAGTACCAGGGAACATTATTTTACCAAGTTACAAATGTTTGTTGGTGCTTATTTGGAACAATACAATAATAAATTCAGAATGGTTGTTGAGTGACACTAACTAATCTAACTTGATGGTGAAGTAAAAAGCTTTTGGTCTACAGGCTCATGTAATGTTGATAAATACATTAAAATCACGAAAATGGTGGCGACAATTAAGATATCCAACATACGTATATGAATGCTGGGTACGAAGTCTAATGACCATCAATGCGTGTGAGTGACTGGTAATTTGATGAAACGAAAGATGATCACTACAATGAGGTGTACCTTTGCAGCTTTTGCTTGAACAGGTGAAAGTTGAGTGACGTATTTAAATTATGTACGCTTCGAAAAAGAGACGGAAATAAGACGAAGTAAAAAGCAAAATCCTTTCAGAAGACTAGATTCAAATTACCAGTCAACCACAGCAAGTGAAAGAGACCCTTTGAAATATGAAAACACGTCTGTACGTTGATATATGTTTTTAATTTTTGTACTGATTTTGAACGATCTGAGTGTGTCTGTGACCTATATATTCAACCACCCTTCATTTGAAAACGAGTTAATATATCGAATTTGATCGGTGTCATCTCACCACAGATATCTTAGCACTACTGTAACGCCTATATTCAGAAAACGACGAATACAGAACTACCATAGCCCACTGGGCAGTGCTCATAACCTACTACATTTAATCGAGAACACAACAATTAAAGTTCATAATCAACAGAGGCTTTTATACTTCAATCTTTATAACATTATACAGATAGCACACTTATTTTTCCGATGTAGAGCTGCATCACCTCAACAGCTTAAGAAATATGGGCAGGGGGTCCACCTGACATGGAACTTTAATTTTTGAGAAAAAGTTTTCATTTCAATAAATTCAAATGAGTATGGATGAGTGACGTGAGAACCTTACGCGTACAATTATTTCCTAACTCTACACGTGAGGATTACGATTTTCGTTGTATATGACTGAAAGATAATAACCTATGATTCCCAGAACCGAGAAACATGTTCCGACAGATGGTCTATTATTTGAACACCAGCTTACTGGTACAAACCTTTACGAAGAAGAAACAGGTGTACAAAATGACCTTAACATAAGCGCTTTGAGGATTGAAGGTCCCTTAGTTCTAATTCATGTATAAAAACAATGTTGCAATTATAAGCACGCTATTGGGACTGAAATTTAAAATGGCTATAAAGACAGGTAACAGTAATGTTTTTCATTCCTACAAATCCCTTTTGTACAATGTTTCATTAAAATGCAATTCTCTGACACTGAATATCTGCCAGCCAAACAGTTGTTTTAGTTTACGATTTTTTCTTATATAAATGTATATAGGCGGGAATCACCATTAGTTGTCAGTGGGGCATACTACTATGTAGGTCAGTATACAGTAGACCTTTAGTCTCTCATATAATATATCAAAGATGAACAATTCGATCATCCGTAAAAGGGATTGAGGATACCACTAGCATTGTAGTTTAATAACTATTAACCAGTGTCACCTTCAATAATTGAATCGAACTCACCCAGTTAAAATCAGAAGTCAAAAGCGAAGAGGTTGGAAGATATATTTGATGCTTTGTCAATATATCAAGAAGCGATTGATCTAATCTGGCCGTTTATCGTAGGAGTTGTTTCCCTCGCTGTGGTGTAACGTGATCTGGTGTGGATGTATCACCGAACGCCTTCAGCTAAACAAGTCCACTTAAACTAATGTGGTCAGCATCCAATTTCGAGCACTTAAAATGCTAATAATTTCAGGGAATTTTATACAGCTACAGGATCTTTTCGGAACAAGTCGTATAACTGATAATTTCGGCTCCTCCTTTTGTGGAAGTTACTATGTTCCTACATTTTAAAAATGACTGGGTATAGCCCATATTTTTCTATCTCAAGTTAGACCAGACAAGGCAGTGAAAATGCAAACGGATGTTCTAGTTTTACAACTAGCTACCAGTAGCACCTTCTATATTCGATCGTTCCCAGTCAGATAGAAATCAGAAGTCAGACGAGAAGAGGCAGGAAAGATATATTTGATGCGTTACCAATATATCGAGGACCTTTTCTATGAGCTGGCTAATGAAACGTAGGGGCTGTGTACCACACCGAATTGAAACGTGATCTGGTACGGATGCATGACCGAAAGCCTTCAGTTAAACAAGTCCACTTAAACAACATGGTCAGCATCCAATGTCGAACACTTAATGAGCTATTGATTTTGGGGAATTATTTACAGCTACAGCAGTAAAGAGACTATTGACCGCTATCGAAACACTGACTCCTACACAACTAAATGTCTTCCGAAATGAGATTAGGTTTCCGTTTCATTTCAGCTTGGAAAGGTCAGGAGACTACGTGGCCTGTGTTAGTCATGGCAATGATGGTCTGTTATTTGGTCTAACCTTACTTTTAAAACGCTAACAGATGGAGCTTTCATCCATCGATGATTCGATGGGAAAGTCGATAGTCTGCTGATAAGTGATTAGACCTTGGCCTGGGAACATATTTTAGTGTCCGTGTAAATACTGTGTTTTGGATGACATGAAAAACAAGTAAACAACAGATTTAAATTTGTCACCAAGTAGTTTAAAAATTGTGACCAAGTGACCTTTGGTTCGTATACATCACAATTGAAATATGCTTTTTTTCAGACAGTCGAGCATCATGCGGCAGGTTTGCTACTCCGGTAATCAGCTTGATTTTAGGACGAACGAGTACTGTGTACCAAATTAAAATGTTTTTGATGTCGATATAGCTAAGGGCCTCAAGTATTGACCACGGGGTTGTAAAACCTCTGGCAACTATCGCAAGGCGGTGTACAGTAGTTTTTATGTCTTGGCTAACGATAGCTTCCAAGTCGTTGTGTGTCTGGACATCAGGAAGCACAATGTTCTATATTACGTATGTTTCTGTACCTTGGAACCATTTGCCGATGACTGCAAAATTCAAGACTACCGAGAAAAGATTTCCATGCCATTTCGAAGCTCAAAATTATCACCTTTATTTATTATTGTTCTCCATGTATATTGACATTGTCAGTGTAAAACTGGACCGATGATGATAAGAGACTAGGAAGGTTATTTATAAACTAGAGTGACAACACCTTCAACAAAACTTTGCAATGAGGCACTCCAATAAGCATAGTTTCCCCGCTAAACTTTGAGTTTACCTGTATTATTTGTTGGATCCCAATTAGAAAGCCTTTTACTCACATCAATAAATTGTCAGCCAGCGCGAGAGTCAGAATTTTCACCGCTAACTTTATACACTCCTACGGTACGAACCTGAAAGTTTGAGACATACCGCAGCCATCACAAAAGAAGTGAAAACACTTACGGAAAGGTGCTTGCACAACGTACTGCAAACTGAATGGCCAGACACTGATGACAACCGATAACTCTTCTATGGGATGAACCATTTGTCAGTAACTACGAAAAGGATAAAACATACTTAACCAAACCATATCACAATGCAAATCGGAACTTGGAATTCTCATTGCACATGAAATGAGACAGATCAAGCTACATATGGTATCGAGAATTGAGTCACATATAAACTAATCAATAGTATATTAGATCAACAAGAAAGAGAGGTCCATGATAGAATTTCTAGAAAATTACTTGTCTATGTGTTCGAGGAGTAAGAGATCTATATAGACAAGCACGGCAACCGTTAAAACTTGAAAAACCATAATGGCAGAAAGGTTTTCAGCGTCTTATGAAATAATGTGCTTCACTTAGTGGCACTACGACTAACACATTGCATTTGGTTTCCTAAGGTGATGAAATTTGTCTATCTGTGTATAAACAGATAAATTAGTCCTGTTGGATGTTTAAAACGTATATCTATAAAATGCCTTTTGCATGTCATTCTGTGAGCATTTGTTAAGATCCTCCCATACATACTTCTTTTGAGGCAATTTCATTGTCTCGCTTTGTTTTATACATTTATTTCATTGTTGTTCGTCCTCATGTACAAATGGAATGTGATAATAACGCTGCTTATCACTCTGAATATAACGTTGTTAGTTTTTGATAAATTAAGAGACAGCTATATAGCTACGTTTTTCGTTCTTGTTGATAGAACTTACCAAACTATGTTACCGTTTAATGATGACCTTTTTGGTATCCAGCTCTGCTAACTCACGTTCACCTGCCTGTGGTACTGTAGTGAGCAAAACACTAGTTGGGGACAATCGAATGTATTTAAGCAAACATTACAGACTATCTCAGTAAATTCTGATTACCAAACAATGAACAGTCAATTTGCAAATTAACAACCAATTGTTTCAATCTTCACTGTTTCTTCTCTAATTCCATTGCTCATGCATTTTCCAAACGATTGCGCTTCATTTCAGTTCTTTCCTCATCGGTCTTCTGCGAAAATACATTCTATGTCTGACCCACACCATATACTACTTATATAGATATAAGTAGACCACACCACAGTACCACCCAAATATATTGTTTCTATATATTTTTATGGTCTGTTTTCTTGTTTGTCTTCAGGATACAAAAATGGTTAAGTTCTGATAGCAATAATATATTGTCTGTTGCATAGGGTCTATCTTCAAATGGAAATAGCATTTTTCTAGAGCCAATGGGCCCTTTTTACCCCATGAGATATCGGATCAAGTCAGGTTTGATATTGTTCTGTAAATAGTTTCATTTTTTTTATACATATCCGGTTGAAAAAGCTTTCGATGCATACAGTTTTTGTGATAATCAACTTTTGTCTTACCATCTACTGTTGTGACCTTGAATTTCCAAATCGCATTTTCTTTGTAGTTTGTAGTTTGTAGTTTTCACAGACGAGATTAATTTTGTTTTTATTCGATCTTTAACACAGGCGGCTGCTATCTTGATTTTTCACTATCTGATTTGTGCCTTTTGAACTCGTCAGCCTAACCTGCTTCGGAAATGATGGAATACTGTTACCTGATCAACAATGACTCCTACTTTTTTCTTCGACTGCCAATATTTGGTGTCTTTTACCCCTTTAGTTACCTTATATATCGTAGAACTGATTGTTTAATCACAAAGAAAAACAACGCCATCTATGAAACTGAGAACTGCTGTTCTTTTAAGTGGTACCGTTAAGTCATGAATGACATTTTTTTTATAGGGATTACTTACTGAACAATTGTGTTTTGGGTTCGCTTGAAAGAAAAGATAGGTATTTAAAGTTTCATTAGTGTGTAGATGGCGTCGATTTGCGATTGACTATGATCAACACTACAATAAGATTACGTGCCAGATATCGATTTGAATCTCTCGGTAGGCCAAAAACCAGAAGGCTGTTAGTGGATCTGATAAGATATATTTATCGGCGATCTCGTAGTATCAAAAGAATACCGAGACGTTCCAAAGATTGCAGGCAAAATGGCAGAGTGGTTGAGCGTTCGCACAAGCAAGTTTGACAGCGGAACGAACAGTGCTTTTGCTATAGTTAAATAAACAAGTACAGAAAACAATCACTTATACGATTGGTTATAATGATTGGTTCCATTACACCAATCGCGTTCTAGTCGTATAAGTAGGTCACTACAAGTGCTATCCAGAATTCAGGTGCTTCAGCTTGTAATTTAAAGCTGGTATGATTATTGTAGAAGCAAAGTAATCAAACAACTGAATATCAAGCTATCGAAACTACTGTCACTGTTTCGTCATCTTTAATATCTTTGCGACCATGGATTGAGTTACGAATAAACTTTTGTGTTCTTTGAAATCAACATTCCGTAAACCAACATCTGGTTGCTAAATATGGGTTCCATTTTGAAGCAAGTTGTGATATGTTAGAACACAGTTTATGTTTGACGAATGGGAAATTTTATATTCGTCCACCATGAAGTTCATCGGCTCGTCCTCAAAGATATGAAAATCCATTTGCGCACCTAAATATTTTGTTAAAGAATCTAAATAATGGGCATGTTCATGCATGAGAATCGGACATATACTTAGCTGTAGGCGCTTAATCAATGATTCGCGCTTGGTCGAAGTCAGGTACACCATGACGCATATCTCCTACGACGGCTAGTTATCTTAGATCTCATGATGTCAGCAATGTTCTTGGTTTATATAGATCATTATGGTCTAATGATGAATTATTATTACTATTATCATTGGCTTTATTCAATATTATATTTTTCGTACAATATAGAATTCTCAGCACAAAGTACTTCAACAGATTTCCGTTTCTTATTTATTCGTCCTTCCTGATGATAAAAATTGAGTGATAGCCAGTTAGAAGTTAGCGCCTCAGTCAATCGACTTCTGGATAATGTATATTCTTCTCGTTGCTTATTGCCAGCAACCACGATATCTCTGATTAGGCCTTCTGTAACCTTTAGAGCGAAAGGTCTTCTACTTTTCAGAAGCGCACCTGAATAGGTTGTGCGATTAATGGGCAAAATGATGTATTAAAACAAATGAAATTAGAAAAATTGTTGAAATATCCAGATGACAGGAACAGGTAGCTCAGATGTTTAAACAGGCCGCCCATGAAGTGGCCTTCTAGCTCACATCAAAGTCGCACCTCATGATTAATACCCCGCATGAACTACTAGTTCGTGGTGGATAATAGGTGTGCAAACTATGCAGGCCATAGTTTTCCCTCAGAGATTTCTGAGAATGATAAAATTCAAGTTATTCATCTTTAATCTTGTTAAATAATTTGGCGATGTTTCAGAGATATTTCATCGACTTTACTCTGAATATAAGGTCTTCTGGGTTAATTTAAATTAGAATAACTATCTATTTTTGCTCTTCAATTTATATGGCGTTTAAACTGACCATTTGAGCTATTTGTTAGAATTAATGCATAGAAATGACCTTATTCAAAAGTGTAAACAAGTTGTTCGTGCTATTATTCTGTTGTTCGGGCATAGGAAATTCAGCCTTAAAATATGATGAAGTTCAACTTTTATGACCCAAGCTTGATTTCGAACAATGCTAAGGATGAACAGACAAATAACTTGCACCCTGTCGATGCTAAGTGTTCTATTTTAAATGGTGATTTGGCCACTATGATGATCGAAAAAGAAAGAAGACATGCGTATGTTCGCAGTTTTATTGTATTTTTGACGTATTTGTGTATTGTTTATGTTGGAGATTTCTTTTGAGAGACAAAACAAATTGTGTAGGAGCCTACACAATGTTTGCCATCCACAGAACACTAGTTAATTTTGTGTCTAATTTCCTTCTTCCGAGATAACGTCAAACTTTTGCAAAAAGTCATTATAAAACTGGGGACTGCCCTCAAGTTTGTTCTTGTTGTAGGTATAGGAATTCAAAACAAGTATGTATCGTTGACAATGTAAGCATACGTCTTTTTAATATGTCTGTCATGTAATATTTATGATTCACATTTACTTCTTGATTGAACAGCTGTAAAGACCTGTGTTATTTATTCTTTATTGAACCCTCAAACCCTGTCCTCTTCGAAAAGTCAATTGTAGGCTTTAACACCATTTCTTTCGACAGTTAAACACCAAACTTGATTGCACAGTGAGGAAACTTGTATATTGATGATGCAACGGATATTCTAGTTTTACAACTGGATACCAGTAGCACCTTCTATGTTCGGTCGTTCCCAGTCAGATAGAAATCAGAAGTCAGACGAGAGGAGGCAGGAAAGATATATTTGATTCGTTACCAATATATCGAGGACCTTTTCTATGAGCTGGCTAATGAAAACGTAGGAGCTGTGTCCCACGCAGTATTGAAACGTGATCTGGTGCGGATGCATGACCGAAAGCCTTCAGCTAAACAAGTCCACTTAAACAACGTGGTCAGCATCCAATGTCGAACACTTAATGAGCTATTGATTTTGGGGAATTATTTACAGCTACAGATCACTCCCCCCCTAGTGAGGTAGTGATGCCCCTAAGACGTGACCAGCCAGAAGTTTAAACCCAACGAATTTGTCGTTGGTAAACACTCTTCTGATAGCTTGCTTCGTTTAGCAGCGTCTGGTCGTCGGGCTCACCAATGATGATGCAACGGATATTCTAGTTTTACAACTGGATACCAGTAGCACCTTCTATGTTCGGTCGTTCCCAGTCAGATAGAAATCAGAAGTCAGACGAGAGGAGGCAGGAAAGATATATTTGATTCGTTACCAATATATCGAGGACCTTTTCTATGAGCTGGCTAATGAAAACGTAGGAGCTGTGTCCCACGCAGTATTGAAACGTGATGTGGTGCGGATGCATGACCGAAAGCCTTCAGCTAAACAAGTCCACTTAAACAACGTGGTCAGCATCCAATGTCGAACACTTAATGAGCTATTGATTTTGGGGAATTATTTACAGCTACAGATCACTCCCCCCCTAGTGAGGTAGTGATGCCCCTAAGACGTGACCAGCCAGAAGTTTAAACCCAACGAATTTGTCGTTGGTAAACACTCTTCTGATAGCTTGCTTCGTTTAGCAGCGTCTGGTCGTCGGGCTCACCAATGATGATGCAACGGATATTCTAGTTTTACAACTGGATACCAGTAGCACCTTCTATGTTCGGTCGTTCCCAGTCAGATAGAAATCAGAAGTCAGACGAGAGGAGGCAGGAAAGATATATTTGATTCGTTACCAATATATCGAGGACCTTTTCTATGAGCTGGCTAATGAAAACGTAGGAGCTGTGTCCCACGCAGTATTGAAACGTGATGTGGTGCGGATGCATGACCGAAAGCCTTCAGCTAAACAAGTCCACTTAAACAACGTGGTCAGCATCCAATGTCGAACACTTAATGAGCTATTGATTTTGGGGAATTATTTACAGCTACAATATCATGATAAATCTATCCGTCCTTGAATCGTGTTTTCGCTTTCCACATCATGTCAGTTTTCCATGTCAAGATAGGGAGAAAAAGATATTTCATGTTTAAAATCACTTGGTATCCAGCATACGATAATTTAGTCTTCTAAACTTACTTTTTAATGCACATATCTTATGGTAAGCCAGACTTTGTCAACATTGTATGGATAGTGGCCTTTTTGCATACTTTTGAAGGGATCCAAGTGATCTATTAAACTGTGGCTTACATCATAAACATAAGTTTCTGATTTGGGCATTTTTATGTAAACCGTGATGAGTACGATTCCGTATATTTGAAAGTTCGTCTTAAAAGAGCCCTTCAAATACAATCAAGCCACAGGTTGACTTAATGTGCTTTCTACATTATTGAAAATGAACAAAATGACAAGGATGCTTCATTACCTCTGCAGTTTACCCTGCTTGCTTATATGATCACCTTAGAAACAAAATTGGCTTGATTGATTGGGATTTATCACGTTTGATATCATTTAATCATGACACCGGAGTCATTTGTGGGTGCAATTGCACCCACCATCTGTTACTTTCAGCTATGTTTTGACTTCAGTGTAAAGTAGCGTTTGCGTCTTAGCTATGCATATTAGCTCGCCGATATAAATGGTAGGAAATTTTTTATGCACGTCCATGTGCCAGGTCTAAAAAGTGGCAGTAGATTAAGGGAAAATTTGACACTGAAAAGGTTTGTACATTTATACATTTGTTTGACGAGAATATTAGTTTCTGGATAGTTTTTTGTCCATAATTTACTATGCCGTCTCCCCGAATTCTTTTCATACAGAGATAAATCTACAACTTGACAGATCAGCAATGTCTTTAACATGATGCTGGTGACCCCTTTAGTGATAGAGATCATTGAAATTTTGAAAGTCTTAGTAATGAGAACGTTTTTATGACAATGTATACGATAATACTAAAACATCTGCTTTTCAGATCAATGTTCGGCATTGTTTAGCTAAGAGTAAAAGTATCGGTATGTGCTGTCCTAGCATCTTTATAGGTCGCGTGAAATACTTCCCACCCACTCACCAGTGATGATTGAGTCCAACTATCAGTAAACAGGAAAACTTCCGGAATGATAAGCTATCGAGGCGAGACGTTCAAATATATATTAACATGATCAGAAACTGTAGTATTTACTACTATGTACTTTTTTGATTTCGTAGATATGGTCTATTCATGTTTAGTACTTATATCTTTGAGTTTTATTTATTATACTGGTTTTCTACCTACAGATGAAACGGTAAGTTTACATTTTTATTTAATTAAGTGCAATTCTGCTGCCAATAATAAATGATTAATTGTAGCTAGTTTTGGTTACAAAGTAAATAGTCACTCTAAAGCTTTAGTTTCTCTCATTTATTAAACTCAAAGAGTTTCTGTTATCATGATATTTTATGATATTTTAGTTGTTATGGTATGTAAGTACAATAAATGAGTATGCTAATACAGCGTCTGGTAATTGTTTACCGACCAAAATTTGGTATAAGTAATTTTAAAGTGTATAGCAGGTTTGTAAGGTTTAGCAGTAGTGAAATTGATTAGCCTCGGCTGAAAAGACTGAAAGTAAATGTAAATGTCTACCAAATAGTTTCAGTGTTCATCTTAGTGTATGATAAGTGCGTGAAATGATTCTGTTCCACAAAGAAATAGACGCACATACGAATCTTTTGTTAAATTTGCTCTGTTACGTAAATACTTATCATTCCCCGAATAGTCTTTTGTCTAGTATTTATTAAAAAACAGTATCAAATTTGTTTTAGAAATTTTTTATTTGTAATGTTACGAAACGCAGTAACTTTAACTGATAAATAGTTGTATAAATAAAATTCACTTCACTTCAGACATTAAAGGTTCTTAAGAAATAATTCTGGACTAAGAATAGCCCCTTGGAATTCCTCTAGATGATTTTTTTCTTGAGGTACCTCTTTTAACCCATAATCACTTGTCTTTAATTCCTCCGTAAAAAGCTATACACTTTAATTAACTTTATGTTTAATGTTTGTTTATAACTTGATTACAGATTCAAAGGATTTAAAAATGTCTAATTATTCTTAATTTTTGTTGACAATTTAAGGACAATGAATGATCATATTGTATTAGTAGGCATAAGTGACACCTGAAGGTACTTCCGATTTTAGTCAGTTGATAATTAAATCCTATACTCAATGCCTTAAAACAATAGTGATTAAATTCATAGTGGATTAGATTTGAACAGTGCTTCGATGGTTAGAAAAAAAGCGATGCACTGTCTGTGTGGTAAATTAACAAATTTAGTTGATACTGTGTTTTTTATAAATTGTCTAGCTTGATAATAGGGTTTACAACAGCTTACCTGACTCCATAATTACTAATAAAAGTCATTTTATCAAGTAAAACTGTACCACAAAGCTCCAGTTTAGTCACTGAGTATTTTGTAATTAGAATGAATAAAAATTAGATATCGGTAAGTTATAGTAAAATTAGTTTTAATGAGCCACACATTAACTAGGTAGAATTATTTTGTATATAGCGGAAACAAGTGATATTATAATACGAATAAGTAGTTACTAGTCGGTCAATGTACTGATTGATAAAGGTATTAGTTTGCATTTTAGATATCAATCACAATTTATTAGCCGTGTGAAATGTAGACTTAGACTGAATCAAATGTTGCCTGACAGATAGCAAGGTACAATTATGTAACTGAAATTTGATCATTTGAATCTTTTTGTCGTTTTTTCATTGAAATACACTAGTCTTATTTAAACATAAGCAAATCATTGATTTCTTTTAATTCATATAATAGTATTAAATTTAAAATTATATCCTTCTATCAAACAATTTTTACGAGTGAGGAATATATCTACTTACTTCTTTGTTATATATTATAAATTTTTCTCAGAGCTGAATTGAATTGCGAAATGTTGCTACAGGAACTTGAGTCAAGAGAAACATATCTTCAAGATTTGAAAAATTCGCTTTTTAAACGTATGGAAGTAGCAGAGTATCAAATGAACAAACTTATTTGTTTAAGAAATGAAGAAACAGAAGAGGCTCAAAAAGCCAGTGAAATATTACGTTCTAGCATAACCAAATTAAGAGAACGCTATATAGTTGATAAAAAAGAGCTTGAAAGCAAGGTATGTTATGTAGTTGTTCCTTTGAGCAGTAGTCATAACAACATTGACTTTATTCACTACCTATGTGTGCGTAAAATAAACACATGAAATCAAATAAAATGAAATAAAAATTTTTCAAGACATTGTGAATCTAGACAACAGCAGACTAGCAATAGGCCTAAGACTATAAATTTTAGGTTAGGTCATCCCGTACAACGTTCTCTTCGCATAGTACATATATGAAGTACGGTATTCCAGAGCTTTTTTAATTTTGTTCATGTTCATATAGTCTAGTATGTCTGCTCTGTTAGAAAACATATAAAGGGAAAATGTGAATAAAGTCGATGTCCAGTTCATTACTTGTCTGACATAACATAGCACAAAGGAAACGATAATTTGAAGACTTAAGTTAAATAAACGTTGTTGGTTAATCTAATCCAGATGTTTTAGCGAACTAGCTTCATTAATAACGTTTTAAAATACGGTCAGTCCTGCTTGATTTAAAAGTCATCGAATGGATATTTCCAATATGATTTTTGTAACGAAACGTACACATCTTGAAAAGTAGATTTTAAACTGTTAAAAACTTGATTTTCAAAAATCTCTAGTTATTATTAGCGTCCTACTATTAATTACCCCTAACGTTTCTACGTCTAAATGCTTACATGGATGTCTTCTATGTATCTTTAGTTGTATCTTGAAGATGTAAAAAAATACAGTTTCAAATATATTTGTTATTTACTTACTAATCTTTAAATTATGATGAATTCTTCTAGGTGTGTACTAGAGTAAAGAGACGAGAACGTGCGTTTATTTTTGCAACACAAAGCTCATTTGTACAGTCTAAGGAACTCGCCATTGTTGTCTGGTGTTAGATAATTCGGTGTTTATATTATGTTTAAGAATACAAAATACTGACTCAATAAACCTGTGATTGCTAGTTCACATCCTACTTGAGTATAGGTTCCTCTTTACTTAAATTTATTATTTTTCTAGATATAAAAATAACAGTACCTTCATTGTGTCAACAATGGTTAGTATCATGTAGGATTTTCTTCAGTTGAACATCACCCATACTTCATTTCTAATCTTTTATATTTTATTTAAAGATATGCTCCATTCAAGACACGTACGAGGGCCGGATCACAGAACTGAATAATATATTAAGACAATCAGAGAAAAATCGTGAAAATTTGTTAGCAAAATGTAAAACATCGGAATTCACAATTCAAGTGGGTTTAGATCTCGATATATTATCGTTTAAAATTCATCCGTGTTTAAAATCCCTAGTTTTTTGAACAATATTATTGTAAGGTGTGCTTGTGAAAACACATCCTTGGTTAATTATGGTATGAAGATACTCTTGAAGTCAAGTTAAAAACCGATATCCAAGGTATTAAAATCAACAATTAGTCAGCATTAAGTACATAAGAAAAAATGATCAGTTCTATACGATGGAACAAATATAATTTGCTTTAAGATGTTAGACAAGATTATTAGATCAGGAGAGTGACTTTGTTAATGTTTAACTATATTTTTAACTATATTTTTCGATTTTGAAGTTTTCATTTTCCTTCCAAATGACTTATTATTAACCAAGAATACAAACTAGACTAATAAATAAAAATAATAAAAACGGAAAACTTGCACTGAAATATAGAATACTCATAAATAGTATGGTTAGAAAATAATAGGATAAGTCTGTAGAGTTTATTACTGTCCATATTTGCAGTGTGATTACCTTCATAGATACTTCTGCGATAGAATGGAACTTTCAATAACATCTGATAGCTTATAAGGACATCAGCGCAAATTTTACTGTCGAGATTTCACAACTTTTTAAAATTTTTTTACAGATTATGTTATCCAGGAAGATGACGTAAGTTGCATACTCAAAGCATTTGTTTCAAGGCTCTTACTATCTGAAGAAGTCATTTATCCCTAAGTTAAAATTCTACTAGTTAGTCATACAACTGTAATGCTCATCTGTTATATACGAACTATGTTTGTAAGTGTATTCGCTTTCCAAAATGTATATATCAAGGTAAAAATGTTTTCTTAATAAAACTAACATAATTTATTTTACTACGGAGGTCAGTTCAACGTATGTTTTTATTACGTACGAACCATGGATTACTGGACACCTGTTTTGGTCCTAGATCAGGACTCTTAATCTGTGTGCAAGCATAACCAGACAGGGATAGGATACAAAAAAACTATCTAAAAGCAAACTATACTTAACAATGGCTTCTTGATAATTGAAGACTTATGCCATCATTCCTACTTATCGTTTAAACATTTGATACACAAAAGTCAAGTCAAACAGTAAAAACTCAGAAGTGAACTGTAAATTATCCACCGATCCAGCACATGTTTTAATCATAATGCATAAAATTAACTCCCTAATTACTTTTTATCTGTAAATAAATTTGTCTAAGACATCTATCTACTAATGACAGTTAAATTAAGTATTTCTTTTCATGGTTGCTTAAGGTGTTGCATGCTTATTGTTGAGAAGCGGAAGGAATTGAGAGATGAAACAGCTAAGCCATACTGATTAGTTTATTGTGATTTTGTTTAGCAACTGATAGTAATTCATGCTTGGATTTATTTTATTATCTATCAGTTCATGTTAAACTCAATCAATTTGATGCGTATTTTATTTTTTTGGCTTTTGAGCATCTTATTGTTCATTAACATTATCGTTTAATTCTTCAGAAGTTAAATAAAGAAATTGCAAATGGTAAGAGTGAATTAAATGACTCAATGCGTCGCATTGCTCATCTTCAACAGATTAATTGTGACCTATCCAACGAGTTGGCCAAGTTCAAGTTAACTGTCCAGAAAACTTCAGCTCGTGCGGAGAACTTGGCAAAACAATACAATGAGTTACGATGCAAAACTGAACAAGGTGTTTAATACTGTATTTTATTATGGCTAATTTGCGAATCCATTTTTTAGTTGTTATACTTTACGCTCAGATACCACCTTCTTTAAGTAGTCTATTTTAGTATTTTGATGTAATCATGGAGTCGCAAAATCTTGTCTACGAACTCCGTATTCGGTTACTGAGTTACATCAATGGAATTGATAATATCTATTCTAACGATAATGATCTACTAATTACTACTTTAAGCGGCAGCCTAATTGGTGTAACTAATTTCATTGATTACAACTGAATGTGATAATTGAAAATGTAGTCCCTATTATTAAGTTCAGTGTTCTACAACAGTAATCCCCATGTTTAAGTGAAATCCAACTGGTTAACTTTACGACTGGTACCTTTCTTAATTTTATTGTGCCTTAACAGCTACAGATCATTACTAATTTTACAGACTATCAGTTTTGGATGTAGTAGGTTCTGATGACTTTTCCTACAGCGATGATGAAAGCACCACTATTAAACTATTTATCTAAGGAAAAATAACACCAATAATTAACGTTGATGTACATAATTTGTCTTCTTTACCGTTATAGTACGATTTCTTTTAAAATCATTGAGTTTCCGTATATTAAAAAGTTATTATAGCCGTCATAAAACTGTTAAATATTTCATAATGTCGTTCTTATACCACCTTGCTCTATAACGACAACTCATTTGAAACCATCGACAATTTTATAACAGCATAGTAGGGATTTAGTGATAAAAAAACCCACAACGTGTGAAGTTGTTGAATCTTGTAGAACTATCAATAAGTGCCAGTTTCTGGGATAAGACAGTAGATAAATTAGCTAATCGGTTGCTAAGTATTAAGATGACAAACATGTATGTTCTTTTATAGATCACTGTGGAATATTTTAAATGAATGTTAGTCTGTCAATATTACGTTTTTTTTATTATATCTTGGTAGAAAGGGAAGATATGTAACAACTTACACCATTGGTTCCCAAAATGTTGTTTTCTTAAAAAAGAAACGTATACTACATAGTGCACTGAAAAAACAACTATTCCAAAAGTCTTGATTAGTATAGAAGCTTCATTTGCCTAAAATTGTATTTCAATATTTTAAAAATAAGAAATAAGTTACGAAACAGTATCATGCATTCGTGTATAGTGTATTTAAATATTGTGAACGTTTTTGAAGGAAACTTGATTTTTTAGTTTTTATTCGAGAGGATGACATCAACTACCTACTTTTTACAATATCCAGTTACCATTTATATGCAAAGTAAATAGTATAACATATACTACCTAAACATTAATTCTATAGCCACAAAACCCATTCAACTATGTTATAACGGTTGGATTACTGACAAAATACTTTAAGGCGTTCCTGAGGTTATAGCACGAAGTCGTTATCGGAGTTTACTTATGTTGGAAGGAAACCAATTGCTATCAACGACACTGAATGATTTTCATGCTATATCTCCAATTCAGTCAGTCAGTCAGTTGCAACGTAGAACTTCATACATACGTACATCAGTTCGAGTTGCCATACCACATTAGCACAGAGATGAAGTTGTTGATTCAGATCCCATATTGGTAGAAGTAGTAAGAGTATAGGCAGTAATCGGAAAGATTAGGGTTTGGAGATGTTATTAAAGGAGTATAATACAATGAAATAAATTTGGAAAGAGAAAAAGGATACAGACATGAAGAATTCAGAAGATTAAAATTTGGTAGAACACAAAGAGTGGATGCACCTTCGTCATTGCAAACGATTTTGAGCCATGTCATTCAAGGTCTCTAACCATCGGTTGCTATAATCTCATGAATCCCAACCAGGTAGTCTACACCTACCAACATGGCCCAGTCCACTTGTCAGTGACCTCATGGATTTATGCCATGTTTTGGTCTGGCCACCCCTAGCTTTCTTCCAACCTGCTCCTACACCATAAAGCATTGCACGTCGGGGCAGTCGGTGGTTGGCACACATAACACATGTCCCAGCCATCTCAACTGATGAAGTTTCACTACTTCATCAATCGATTTGCCATCCTTGCCTAGTACCCGTTTCCTAACATCTGCATTACTTACCCGGTGGTCCCAGGATATATGAGCAATGCGTCGAAGACACCTATGATCGAATACTAGTAGCCTACGAATATCCTCTACTCTTATCGGCCATGTTTCACTTCCATAAAGCAGGACGGAACGGACTGCTGCACAGTAAACCCGTCCTTTTGTTGCTAGACGGATCTCTCGCCTACGCCCTAAATGGCGCAAGTTGGCGAAAGCTAGACGAGCCTTTTGTATCCGTGCTGAGATTTCGTCACACACCAGACCACAAGGGCTGATGAGACTCCCAAGATAAGTGAAGTGGTCTACACGCTCAACTACTTCACTCCCTATCATTAGTTCAGGTGTCGATGCATTCCAGTCCTGAAGTAACATTTTGCTCTTCGAGGGAGAGAATCGCATCCCGAACATGCCTGCATAGTTGCTTATAGTGGTCAGAAAACTCTGCATGTTGTCAGCGTCTTCACCGAGTAAAACTATGTCGTCGGCGTATTCTAAGTCAACAAGTGAGCCTCCTGGTAAAAGTTCAACTCCTGGAGGTTTAGCTGATGAAAGTGATACCTCTAAAAGCATGTCAACGACAAAGTTGAACAAGAATGGGGAGAGATATCTCCAATTAGTTTGAGTTGAAATTATTCCGTACGGCATCACTGTAATGGTGAAGTGTTTCCTACGAGATCCTGAGTTCCTGAGCTTAATCCATAATAGGGTCGTTGGCTAACACTATTTATGATGCCCCATATTAGAATAAAACAGCTTTCTAGTGTTTACTAGTTCTCATTGGCACCAACGGAGATTATTTTATGAAGAATACTGCTTTGGTTGACCCAGAGTATTTCTTTACTCTGCACTCGAATGTGAATTTAATTTCTTTTTTATCTTGCGTGAAACGTTTACAAATTAAATAACTTCTATTTGTGTGTTTTCAGAACCAAACTGTGTTATAGTCACTTCAATTTTTAATAACAACTGTGATTTTACAACAAAAAATTAATCCCCACCATTTTTTAATTGTTGTGTTGTTAGATTATGGCACAGAGTCAATGCAGTGATTACAAAATCGTGATGGAGTCGTTATTCTTTATAATTTATAGACATATTAGGTGAACGATTTTTTTATTGGAATCAAAAGTATATCTTCGATGCAAGTATTACCCATTAACACTCTAAAAACATATATTAGACGTTTAATTCGTTTTTAGTTTTTGAGGTCAATTAACGGATAGATCTGAACTTAGACTTATAGAATATCTGATACTTGTTTATTAAGTAGATCTACACCATCCAGAAAACTGGTGTTCTGTTCGGTTATCAAAGCAATACTATTCGGTAAATATTATTACTAAGCTATTCAGGCCATGTCTGACCCATGCAAGAGCTCAGTTACCAGTATAACTGAAAGATTACGATTACTGTTTAAGGTTTTGATGAGTCATTGTTTAGCATTTGAAAGTCAATATATTAACATTCTTAGGATTTTTGCATTTGTTCACTGTACTCCAAAAATTTCATGACTATTCTAACATGTTTTTATGGTTAGCAAATGCTAATTTAACTCAAAATGAAAAAGCTGTACGAACTGCGTCTGAAAGACGTTCATCGGCCGAAAACGCATTAGTTGCTGCACATCACCGAGCTGATAATCTATGTACACGTAATACACAATTGGAAAAAGAATTGACCACTATTAAGGTTCGTGCTGAAGAACAAGCAAAAGTGAATGATATAACTGTGACAAAACTCAAACGTCGTTTACTTGCTATTCAAAGTGAAGCTTCAAGATGGAAACGATCTTATCAGGAGGAAAAAGTAAATGAATTTCAGTTTCATAAAAATGATTAGTCTGGATGTGAATTTCTTGATTAATTACTATTATGCTTGTTTTATATAATCTTTCTTGAGTGTATTCGACATGTGATTTTCGTTAATTAACACGTTTTACTAAACTCCTTTCTGACAATTCAGATAATGTTATTAAAATTTGTTCCTAGATTTTCCCGATCAATGTTTTATGTTCCGATTACAGACAGCGTTATTAGCTTAGTGAAGAAGCAATTTTTCTGTCTGACAGTGGAAAATTTCATGTATCATATAAGGGTTAATCATATAAAACCAAATTTTAAAAATAATACAAAGATACTGAACAAGTAAACCATCTTTTCTAAAAGGATATTATATGTATTCAAGTATTTCCTTACAATCTAAAATTTTCATGATTACCGGAGATAAAGAATGTTTAGATTAAAGAATTTTTGTACTAACACTAGCAAAGTGGTCACCAATTTTATGATAGTTGGATTTGATTTATTGAAAAACAAATTTAATCACGTTTCCATGGGGTGAGACAATATAGCCTTTCAGTGTTCCTTAATTTCCATGGCTGTTCAAGCAATACCATCTTTTGTGCTGTGGTTTGCTTTCAATCGATATAAAATATTTTGGGAATCAATTTCATTTATCCGATATCTATGAATTGCCTCGAAGAATTGTTTATTAGTTATGTTGTTATTAGCTTATTTGTGTTGGCCAAACCATATACAACTCTCAGATATCAACATTCTTAAAATGAACGATGTTTAAAGTTTCTGTTTTGCAATCAAAGTAATGAAACATTAATTATTTTCTTATATATATATCAGTCATGGAGATAAGAGAGTTATTAGGAGGTGTAGGATTTGAATGTGACCACCTTGGTCTCGTGTGCAGTTACGGGTATGAGGGCTTATATTACTTCCCGGCTGCCCACACCGTGGAAGGGTATTTTTTGAGGGACCTGAAAAGGAAGTTGGATGAGTGTTGGTCTTAATGACCAGGGAGTGTGACCGCAGTGCCCAAGGGACAACTGCTTAAGGCCGGTCAAGCACGGCCTTTTTGGGGGGACTTTTGACGTGTTAGCTCCATTTTTAAAAGGACCTTACCGCGGGAGATGGATATCCGTGGGATAAGGCGAGGTGTGCATTTTTAGGGTCGAACTTTTCTGACCTCACCCCTCCTTGTGGGAAGGCAGCATCTCTGTTATGCTGGTTGTCTGAAGGAAACATCTTACTGCCGTCACACCTCTGTACAGTCATCAGTACGACTTCGCTTTCGGATGTTGGGTTTGCTGCTTTTAGTCTCATCGCTCTTCAACCGACTTGTCTGGCATGGTAGGACTATGTGGAACGATTGTTCCAGCCAGTATAGCTCGATTGATTCGTTACGATAGACAAACCCGACCACCACGTCAAGGTGTATATATTTATTTATTTATTTTGAATACCTAGTGCCTTCAAATGTTATCCAAATTGATTCTTTTAAAAATTAGATTCATATGCTAAAGTCAATTATTCTGTGTGAATAGGTATCCCCAAAGTCGAAGTACTGATCCATAATAAGTCATGTTTATCCTAAAATCACTAATACCTTGTAAACAAGAAATGCTTGAAAATATTTGCAGATTGGCAGAGCCAGTCGTTTATTTTGAAAATATTCAGATATGGTAACCTTACAGAAAGCTTTTTATACTAAGCGAGAGACTGTCTACTGTCTACTTATCTATGAGAGTAGAGTTATTGAAGATATTGTGTTATGTCTCAACTTATAACCAAACTAATATGTTAATATTCAGTGGATATATATACAGTTAAATTTCCGTTAGTAAAATTGAACTGTGGCATGGAGTGGAGTTCATAAAGTGCACTTCGTTATATTTCAGACTTGTCAGTTAGATGGACCTGAATTCAGAATTAATGTCCATACTGGATGAATACCAATATTGAGGTATCTTACTCAGCATCCACATATACTTCGAAATAATGACTAATTTTATTCTCATAGTTGAAATCATGAGTCAATTGAAGCCAGACCACCATGGAAAACCTGGGAGCACTGGACGACCGTTTCGTCTTATTATGGGACTCCTCAGCAGTGCGCATCCACGATCCTGCACCTGCGAGACTCGAACCCAGGACCTACCAGCTTCGCGCCGGAGCACTTAACCTATTGGCCGTCCAGTGCTTCCAGGTTTTCCATGGTGGTCTAGCCTGAATTGACTCATGATTTCACTTATGAAAATACTGAAATATCCACAGAAACCCCTTCTAATTTTATTCTTATCACTAAGCTGAGAAAGATGCAGTCTCTTTTTTGTACTAAAAATACATCTAAATAATCATTAATTGTTGTTTTATAAATTACTTTCTTCATATAGAATAATCGTGATTTAGATTCACAAAAAACAAATGAATTCATTCAAACTATTTTAGATGAACGTAATTATTTAGAAAAAGAATTAAATTCAACAAAAAATAATATGAAAGAACATATTTTATTAATTGAACATTTACAAAAACAAGCTGCTTTTGACGCATCTAATGCATCAACACGTTTATTAGCTGCTTTATCAACTGGTGAAGAAGGTGTAGCTACAGCATTAGAATTAAAACAATGCATTGAACAACATTTACAACCGGAATTAAAATGTTTAGTAGAAAAATGTAAACATTTAGAGTCTGAACTCATGGTTAGTAAGTCTTATTATTATTCCGTCCTATCTGTTATTCATTCTATTGCCACTTATTTCATTAAATATAATTATCTTCTTCTTAGAAATACTCATTCTTATGTACTTAACTCGTCCGCACATCAATATACTGTAGAATAGTTTTATCAATTCGGTGTAAGCCCTTAGCTCAACAGGCTATTTAGGCCAACCTTGGGGATAGCAATGCAGGGGTCCGGTTGTGACTAAACGGCCCTGAAGGCAGAGCGATGAAAAATATTCTATCACTTGGTGGGCTAGCAAACGAGGGTGAGAGAGAGGATGAATCGGCTGGAGTGCTACTCGATGTAGTTATGATTCAGATTAACTCGCAGAAGGACATGAAGTAATATATAACTAGCAAGATCATAACTCACAAAGAATTATAAAAATGTAATTATTTGTAAACTAGAGCATTAGGGTAAAAAAGAAGTACTAAAGGTTACGTTTCAACTGCAGTAATTTTGGAGTAGAAAATAGTATGGCACTGACTCATGAATAAAACGGAAACTTATAATTTGCATTATAAAATGGAGACAAAACTATATATTAGTGATTTAACGACTTTGAATTAAGTGAGACAATGTTTCTAAAAAAAAGCTTCCGCTATTCATCATTGGTTCTTTGTTTCTTTCTTCACATCACTCAGAAGATTCTGCATTTTGTCTTTAGAATACTTGTTGTTGATTTCACGCTCCAAAATTCCATCAAGAAGTTGAAATGTGTATTCTTTTCGATGAACTATGCTTGTTTCTTTCCAGCTATATTACCTCTTATTATGTAAAACATCCGTATAATCGGGTTATACAATAATATTATTTTTATTGTAGAAATTTTAAAAGATCTCTTGTTAAATATCAATCTTTCCTTGTAGAAAGCGTGTGTTTAAAACTGTTGAAGTGTTCTTGGCTCATGGATCGTTGGGTATCACAAAACTAGTATAATATAAACTGTTAGAATTAATCCATTGACTCATAGGATATCGCATTATTTTTTCTGTAATGACATTTAAAATCGAGATAATTATACTGACTACTGTAATATTGTTAAATCCCTACGAGAATTATGAATGATAACTTTCAAGAACTATTTATGGACCAACAACATACATACATTTTTATTGTGTAGTTGTTAAGTAACTAAACTATGCATATTCATATTCCTCTCATTATAAGCTTCATTTTGACTTATAGGCTATTATTATACGATTTACCGTTCTTGACTTATGTCTAGTCTATTAATTACAGTCTCTCACATTCACGGTCACTTTTGGCTAGATCTTGTACAATTGTTGTTTTATATTTTATGGTAAGATGTGGTCTGTTTGGATTGTGTATACACTCAGTAAGTTTGAAATACATGATTCATATCACGGAGCATGAGAGTGGTGTTTTGGACTCTACAGGTAGGGCTAAACAGGAAGAAGGACTTATAATGACTCTAGACTGTTCTTACGAGTTTATGCATCATTGATCCATTCGCTAAATCATTGTTATCTAGTTAGCGGTACCATTACGCTATATATTAATAAGGCACAAGGCCACAAGTCATAACATATATAATGAAAGTATTTAATAAGTGAAAGTGTAAATGCACCAAAACGTCAAGTAAAGTCACATTAATACTAACGTAAATGACCTAAAAGTTTTGGTATGAAGTACTTTTAATATGTTAACAAATACTCTTATGGAAAAAATGACATTGTTACATTTGACAACATACTTTTCTCAGGTTATAAATGTATTTACAAAAATTATGAAATAAAAATAGCCACATAAAATTTGTAATATATATTTTAATATAGTTGAAATTATGAGTCAACTGAATCTAGACCACCATGGTCTATCGGTTAAATGCTCACGGGCGAGACTGATAGGTCCTGAATTCGAATCTCGCGAGGCGGAATCATAGATGCGCACTGCTGAATAGCCCCACAATAAGAGGAAACTGCCGTCCAGTGCATCCAAGCTTTCCATGGTGGTCTATCTTCAATTGACTCATGATCTCAACTATATAAAATTACTAAAATCTCCACAAAACCCCCTTCTGATATCTTTCATTTTGAAATTATTATTAGGTATCATTCATTACAATCTTATCAATAGTTTATTTATTTAAATAATTTATCTAGGAATCAAATAGTAAAAATAAAAAATTACAAGAAGATTTAAATAAAGCCAATGAAATTATTGAAAAAACAAAATTAAATTTAAACAAACAAAATGATAATTTTATAAATGAATTAAATTTATTGAAAGAGAAAATTTCAGAAGCAAATGAACAAATAAATATTAAATCAAAATTATTAGAAAAATCAGAAAACCAGGTAAATAAACAAGATTGATCATGATTGTATATTATTTGTTTAAACTGATATGAATTAACTTTTTGTTTTAATATTTAATTATTACAAAAATTATCAGAATTGGGTTTTGTGGAGATTTTAGTAATTTTATATAGTTGAGATCATGAGTCAATTGAAGCTAGACCACCATGGAAAACCTGAAAGCGATGGACGGCCGTTTCTTCATATTGTGTGACTCCTCAGCAGTGCGCATCCATGATCCCGCCTCGCGAGATTCGAACTCAGGACCTACCAGTCCCACGCCACAGCTTCAATCGACTCATGATCTCAACTGTATGAAATTGCTAAAATCTCTACAAAACCCCTTCTGATAATGATCATGTACTCACTAGTGACTGGCTCCATGAGGTATTTCCTGGAGTTCTAGTGCGAAATAGTAACCAGTGTAGTCCAAGCAGGTTTGTTGGGAGACTGAAGACATTGGTGAGTGTTAGCTTAATTTCGTGGATTGGTTGAAGTTAGACATTACCACTGTTGGATGCCGGCTCAGTGGTCTAGAAGTTAAGCGTTCGCCCATGAGACCGAAGGTCCTGGGTTGGAATCTCGCGAGGAGGTGTCGTGGACGCTCATTGCTGAGGAGACCCACAATAAGACGAAACGGCCGTCCAGTGCTTCCAGGTTTTCCATGGTGGTCTAGCTTCAATTGACTCATAATCTCAACTATATAATAATATAAAAATTGATAATTAATGTAGGTAGAATGATCGAATCAGATATATTGAGAATTTCTCTATTACTGATATCACAAAAGACAATTATAAATGGTTAAAGATAATTGATTTTTAGAAAGTGAACTGGTTTTGTGATATCCTACAGAAATTTCTGAGTCTTGATTTTTCAAAAAAAATGTACCTACGAGCTTACTTAAATCATTGTGTCACTGAATGTTTAAAGTTTATTTTTTATGAACTGTCACTTCTTATCAATACAAGATCATCTATACTGCTTTACTACTTAATGGTCTACTTTAATTTAGATTGGAACTTGATTATTTTAAATACGATCTAACCTTATTATTCATAAATCGTATTGTTGTCGAATTCTTTGTTTGAAAATTGAATAGAAATGTGTTTTGTTTTAGTTTAGGATTTTGACATTTTATACGAATTATTGGTTCGTTATTACTGTTTATATGATTATAATCATAGTATAAGATGTTTTCTTGTTTATTCGTTTCTATAGTCGAATAAGTTACTTTTCTTGATTTCAAGAAATTGATCAACGAAATTTGAAAAAAAAGCATTCAAATAATTACTTAAGATTATATTGAATGATTCGGTTGTAGCTAGTAATTAATTTTGTTTACTTTTGAACAGTAATTCGTATTTTATTCAGGTAAATTATATTGCTTCTATCTAACTTTTTTCAATTCTCCAGAAATCGGTTTTACTACTTAAAGATGGGTATGTATTTCACACTTTTTTAGAAAACGCACCTTATTACGAATAATTTAATGCACATATTTCTTTGAGTTAAATATCGGATGAAATGTGGTTCGCTGACATATTCTATTTATTTATCGACTAAAGTAGGGGAACATGTATTACGTATTGTCAACGAACGTCTACATTGAAATGGGATTTTAGTTTATGTAGGAATGGGCTAGAACAAAGCTGAATGTGGATAAACCATGATCCACTATCAGTCCATGGATCAGTGAAAGCTAAGCTGAGCCGTGTCTTAGATGGGTGCGATTATTGGGACTAATGGTTGGAGACGTGTGGCATTATCCAAAATCTATCTCAGTAGATAGATTTTTTGTTTTGTGATTTTTATTCCGTTAATTCATTCTGTCTTTTTGAATCATATTCACAATGCCTTATAATTTTTTATTCAACTGATACTATTGCTTTTACTGTTTTGGCTTTCAACTTGTTGATTTCATCTCGCTGGACAGATATGCTATGACAACTTGTGTGCACGTTGATTTTTATCAGTTTTTAATTTGCTTGTGTCTGATTAAGATAACAAGCGTAATGTAAACACCTATTCTATCCATCATCAAACACTTCGTTCGATACCGAGTAGTCTTTTTTTAAATTTTAAATAGATATTCTTTTATTTATGGTTTCAATAACAATCATATCTTATCATGGATGCACTAAAATGATGTTTTAATTTATATATATATTTCTCTTCTATGCACCTCATTTTTAATAGACTGTACATATAAGATACCTGCATAATAATTTTGAAGTACCATTGACTCAACTCATGGGCGAGACTATAATTTATGGACGACATTTGAGCGAATCTTAAGTGACCTTTAGAAATGTCAGCCAATCAGTAAACAGTCAGCATAGAGTTAACATATATTATACAAAACCAAATAATTAAAGTGGATACACTTTTTTTATATGGTCCAAACACTTGTCAAGGTTAGAAAAAGATTCAAAAGTTTTAAAATCGTAATGCATAACGTACAGGAACTCATCCATATGGCTCCATAATAGTTGGTCTCTGAAGCCATGATAAAGTCATAAAAACCTACTCAGACTCGACCGAATAGCTTCATTATTGTTTGTTTGTACTCCGGTTGTGTAAGTTTATCATTTTTTATGAATATCTCCCTACAATACTCATACTACTGAACAGCCGAAGCTTCAGTAACATCTGCGATTATTGAAGCCAATGTCACTGGTGCTTTTTTTATGCAGTTCGAGGCAATTTTTATAATATGCCTTAGTCTCAATATGGATCGAGCAATAAAGGTTTCTATTCTAGGAAACGTCTTCCTTCAGCATATATTACATCGAAGGGCAACATCACGGTAGTCCGCACAAGGTCTACAAGTCACCTAATTAGAATAATCACAAATACAGGAATTTCTTAGTATTCTCATTTGTCATAGCCGCTTAATTGTCAAGTCTTCTCTAAAATTTTCTGTAAACCGATCGTACATGAGCATCATGTACTGAAATTGGCACTATGACCCTGAAATCCCTCAAACGCTTTTGATTGGCTCGTCCATAAATTATAGTCTTGTCAACTCATGCTACAATTGATGTTTCATGTATCTTCTTTATTTCTATCATAATTATCATTATGACTATTTTTTCCTTTACATTCAAGATAGAACAATATCAATTAGAATTGAATAATTTACATACATCTAAAGTTAATTTCAATGAATCAACGGCAGAAGAATTAAAAAATTTAACCAAAGAATTAAATGATTTAAAATTAACCCATACTATTGTACAAAAACAATTACATACTAATCAACGTATAATTAATAAATTAAAATTAACTAAAAATACAGCATTAATTAATTTAGATAAATTAAAAATTGAATTAAAAGAGAAATGTGATAATTATGAAAAACAATTAAATGATAAATCTAATGAAATCCAACATATACGTCAAAAATTAAAACAAACTGAAATTAAATTAAAAGAAGCTAATAATAAAGTGAGTTACTTTTTCAAATATAGTTGAAAGCGTGAATCAATTGAAGCTAGATGACCAAGGAAAACCTGGAAGCACTGGACGGCTGTTTCGTCCTATTATGGGACTCCTCAGCAGTGCGCATCCACGACTTCGTCTCGCGAGATTCGAACCCAGGACCCACCAGTCTCGCGCCAGAGCATTTAAACGATAGGCCACTGAGCTGGCCGGCATCCGATGGTGTTAATGTCTAACTTCAACCAATCCAAGAAGTTGAGCAACCATTCACCGATTGTTTTCAATGAGTTCCTATCTCATAACAGACGTGCTTTGAACTCCACTGGTCACTTCTTCTCACTAGAACTCCAGGATTTATCTCTCGAAGTCAGTCACTAGTGAGCATATGATTAATAGCTTCAATTGACTTGCGCTTTCGACTATGGGGATACTAAATCTTCACAAAACCCTTTCTCATAGACATATTTACTACATGATAAATATAAAATTATTTTGCTATCTATTATTGTACTATTCAGTTTCTGTGTTTATTTGTTAACTAGAAGCTAACAAAATTCCTTATTGGTTGGTGGTGCTATAATCTACACTTTTCTGGCCAACTTGAACTTGTCGGTTTTTCTTCATTTGTGTGTAGTGTTGATTATTTAACACTGATTCATTCATATGTATTTTTATACTTTTCATCTTATTTACTTTGGTTTATTCTAATATTTTAACCAGCTATTAAAACAACCTTTCGGTATATTTTTGTCCAGTGATTACAACTACCTTTCAATAACATCGGAAAAGTAAAACACATAAAAATGAGGTGATAATGATATACAAAATGAAAACACTGTTGAATAAAGATTTTAAGGATATGACTAGTAAATGCATTTATGATTTTCTGACGAGTTAAAATCTGCGGATCACTAACCACTGATTAGTGACATTGAGATGACCTGATCATAATGGAATGGATCCTTTAACATCTCAGAAATTCATAGTTAGTGACTTCGTGAACTAGTACCGCATAACTTTTTATTCAACAACTGTATGATTCAGCTAATATTTGCATAGAGTTGTTTGTTCCATGTAAAACGTAGATCAATAACTTCAGTTACAATTTAATTGACCAATTTTGAACTCAAATTCAAGAGCTTTCTGCCATATGGTATCAGTGATTCGAAAATAAGAAGTCGAATACTTGTAATATGTGTATATTGCTCTTTATTGACCATATTTAATACATTGGTTTGCTATGCAGGATACTGGACTGTTAAATAGGGATTTGAATTTGATACTGTTAGTAATTTGTGTGGGTGTGTAATATTTTACAGGCTGGATAGCTTAATCTTGAAGGCCTTTTAGAGGCACGAGATCTAACTCCGATATGATTGATTGAATGTATATGCCATGAAAATAAATCGGTCGTTCAATCCCGAATATTATGTCTGGACTAATCCTGTTTGAGCGACGGCACTAATGAGAAACCAAATACGAATTAATTTAGATGAATTTATTTCATGCATACTTAAATAGACGTTAAGGTGTAAAGCGAAGCAAAACTCAGAAGGCAAGCGTATCTGTGTTATACATTTTTTCCTTTTATTAAACAATCGAAATTTGAGTATCTGGGCACATGTGATTCAATCGACTCCACATTATAACACAATCCTAAATTATCTGAAACTATGATGAAAGAATTATATAGTGTTTTTGATATGTGAGCGAGAATGACAATGATTGGGTGTTTTGCTGAGTCAGGCATTAGATAGAATGACAGGTGTTATATGTGTTATATATATTCCCCTATCCTTATTATGTATTGACTGCTATTGATTGACTGTTCCTTGTTGTTGGATTGTGTCGGATTTTGGTGTGAAAATATATTGATATTCTAGTCAGGCTAATCTCGTGTTCTTGATCTGAGTTATGTTGAAGTCCTGTATAATAGACAATGGGTGAGAAATCTAGTGTAGATATTCGTCTAAGGTAAATTAACGTCCCACATACGTGTAAAAAGTGAAAGGACTGTTATAACAAGAAACCCTAGCGTTATAACAAGTATCCTACCGTTTATAACAGTTTTTTTAGTAACCAAGCTAATCTCAAGCTGTTTACAACATCCTTAGAAATAAAACAATTACCTGAATCAACGTTATTATTATTCTTATCCTTTTTTCTTATCAGTATGAAAATCTTATGGAAGAATCTAATAATCAATTATGTTTTAGTCAAAATATTATTAAACAATTAGAAAATACAACAATGAATCAAACTAATCAAATAACAAAAATAAATGAAATGGAATTAAAAATAACTGAATTAAATAATTTATTAAAAGAATCTGAATTACGTTTAAAATCTGTTAATACAACAAAAGAATTAAATGATCAACGTTATATAGAATTAGAAAATTGTTTTAATCAATTAAAAATTAAATTAAATGAACGTGAAAATTTAATTCAATTTTTAGAAAATGAAATACAAAATAAAACTAATTTATTAAATGAAAAATTAAAAGAATATGAATTACTTAAAGTAAGTATTGAATAAGTAGTCTTTCTTTTCATGTTTTTATAAATAAGTAATTTATCTTTTTCTGATGGGTTATATTGTGTCTAAACTATGAACTATTTGAAGATTCTCGTAATACGACAAAAAGATATACACTAACTAGATAGACGGCCCCCAAATGCCCTGGTATGGCCGAGAGTTGGGAGAGTTTGTTCTCCCTCTCGAAATACTCTCAAATGGTCATGCGTAATATAGCCTCTGCCAGGAAAGTCCTACTTACTGCCTTCTCGTGGCCGGGGTGTTGTTTACGAAAGTGAGAGAACGAAAAGCGAATGTCCGGCACTTTAACCGGGTTGGTGGACACGGATAGTCCACCTAGGGGAGTTGGAAAACCCTGATTCCAAACCAATGGTGAACATGGGCTCCAGTATCCTGAGGAAACGAATGGCGTATGAACCTATTTTTGGTCACCGGCTACCATGGGACTGCATCTCCTCACGATGCTCCACTGCCTTGTGGATCAGGCTCCGGGTGTGGTCCCCTTAGAAAACCACCTTCTTCCGTTTGGACACCTTGGCAGTGTCACAGCCCTCACACAAATCGAATGAGATTTGTGCGGCGCTTATGTATCTGATGCTTCCTTGTACCAATATTTATGTGTATAAATAAATAAACTAGATAGACTTTATCAGTGACATACTTTTAGAGAATACACTTTCATCAGCTAAACCTCCAGGAGTTGAACTTTTACCAGGAGGCTCACTTGTTGACTTAGAATACGCCGACGACATAGTTTTACTCGGTGAAGACGCTGACAACATGCAGAGTCTTCTGACCACTATAAGCAACTATGCAGGCATGTTCTGAATGCGATTCTCTCCCTCGAAGAGCAAAATGTTACTTCAGGACTGGAATGCATCGACACCTGAACTAATGATAGGGAGTGAAGTAGTTGAGCGTGTAGACCACTTCACTTATCTTGGGAGTCTCATCAGCCCTTGTGGTCTGGTGTGTGACGAAATCTCAGCACGGATACAGAAGGCTCGTCTAGCTTTCGCCAACTTGCGCCATTTAGGGCGTAGGCGAGATATCCGTCTAGCAACAAAAGGACGGGTTTACTGTGCAGCAGTCCGTTCCGTCCTGCTTTATGGAAGTGAAACATGGCCGATAAGAGTAGAGGATATTCGTAGGCTACTAGTATTCGATCATAGGTGTCTTCGACGCATTGCTCATATATCCTGGGACCACCGGGTAAGTAATGCAGATGTTAGGAAACGGGTACTAGGCAAGGATGGCAAATCGATTGATGAAGTAGTGAAACTTCATCAGTTGAGATGGCTGGGACATGTGTTATGTGTGCCAACCACCGACTGCCCCGACGTGCAATGCTTTATGGTGTAGGAGCAGGTTGGAAGAAAGCTAGGGGTGGCCAGACCAAAACATGGCATAAATCCATGGGGTCACTGACAAGTGGACTGGGCCATGTTGGTAGGTGTAGACTACCTGGTTGGGATTCACGAGATGATAGCAACCGATGGTTAGAGACCTTGAATGACATGGCTCAAAATCGTTTGCAATGACGAAGGTGCATCCACTCTTTGTGTTCTACCAAATTCTAATCTTCTGAATTCTTCATGTCTTTATCTTTTTCTCTTTCCAAATTTATTTCATTGTATTATACTCCTTCAATAACATCTTCAAACCCTAATCTTTCCGATTACTGCCTATACTCTTACTACTTCTACCAATATGGGATCTGAATCGACAACTTCATCTCTGTGCTAATGTGGTATGGCAACTCGAACTGATGTACGTACGTACGAAGTTCTACGTTATGACTGACTGACTGACTGAGATAGACTAGAGACTGAATGCACAACTTTTCAACTATAACCTCATAAACGGTTAAAGAAAGAAGTTAAGAACTTTGATAAAACCTGATATTTTACATAGCCGAAGCCATCTGGATCAACTCCAGAAAATCAAACTTATGCATCCAGAAAAGGTATATCCAGCCTCTAAGTTTACCTTGGCCTACGATTGGATCACCGGATACCTAAACTAAATATTATAAACCTCCCCCTTTTTTTTCTTTCTTTCCTTTTTTGTTGTTGATCACCTCTATCTTAATCTTCACATCCATCATTCCCAATTCGTTTATCATAATTGCCTTAATAACTCCCCCTTTTATTACATATTATATTAACACAACAATCTTATTATTATTACTATTACTAGTTATCATTATTATCTCAATTAACAAGATGAAATTCTCCTACTATGCATTTTATTCACACAATATTTTTACATTTTCATTTTTCCTATATTACTATTACACTGACAGTGACTGGACACTTTATTGCATGAAGTTGACAGAAATCAGTCTTTTAAAGTTATTTATCGTATTCCTACTAGTTTTCCTTATGGGGTTCGATCTCGTCTCTTACACATAGCAGAAGCTATAGGAATTTGATCCAACAACCCAAGTCTTTGTGTTCATAAGAAATTTGTAACACCCTTATCTCTCCCTTGGCCTTAATAAATAATTTTATTTTCTATACTCTTCGTTTATTTTTCTTCACCCCCCTACCAATTATTTACTTATTATTTTTTCTAATATTCGCTCCGCTGTCCAATTATGTGAACATTTCTTATTACATCTCTTATAATTTTTATGAATTTCGTTTCAGTGTCTATATTTTTCTAATCATTGACCTATTTTCCTATTATGTAACATTGATTCAAGCCTTTTATTATTCTTATGACCTGTCATTACACTACCAATTTGTACTTTTCACTTATTATTTTTAGTTATGTAATCTATTCCACTGTTATCAATGACACATAAAGTACTTTGATTGGTTTAATAATTTCGTATATGGATATAAATATTACTGTATATTAAAGCCTGATGAGGACCTAATCGAAAACAATATTGTTCGCTTATTTATATTGTTCTAAATCACAATATGGGAACTTTTCAAATTCTCCTAATAATCATTTTTGTATTATTCTGGTAAACAGTTGCATTAACATAAGGCGATCAGCAATGTAGTATCATTCTAAGTTTATGGACATAGTGACACAGTTAACCAAATCAGTATGATAATTCTTCGAGTCTAAAAATGAGCAGGAATGTATAATATTTTTATGCAAAACATTTTGATAAATTTGATTATACATTCATTTTTCAAGTCATTTTATTATGAAAATTAAAGAAGGTCAAGAAGATACAAAACGTTAAATGAAAATATTGGAAAAATGAGTAGTAGTAATAAAGTGTTATATCGATTGATTGAGTGCCCTGTTGATATATGATGTGATATGACTCCCAATTGGAGAGCAGTGATTTATCGATCGGACCAATAATACACAAAAGCCGTGTGAGCAGTCTTCAGTACTTATCAGTCCTGCTTTTTGCTTAGACCAGCCAGTTAAGTCCAGAACACCAATAACAGCCTCTGCAATATGAATCATTATTCTCAAACATACTGGGGTTTATATACCAAACAAACAGACCACATCATACCATAAAGTAGAAAATAACATTTGTAAAAGATTTGGCCAAATGTGGCTGTGAACAGGGGGAACAGTAATTAATGGACTGGGGATAACTCAAGAATGGTAAATCGTATAATAATAGTTCGTGGGTCAAAATAAAGCTTATAATAAGAGGGACATGAATATGAATAGTTTAGTTACTTAGCAATTATACAATAAGAAAGATATATATCACATTGGTCCATAAATAGTCCTCAAAGTTACGATTCATAAGTCTCCACGTGTTACAACATACAGACGTAATAAAAAATTGTCATACTATTCATGAGACGGTACTATCACAATCAGAACAAACTGTTTCTGGATGTGTAAAGGTTTCTAACTTTTATTAATAGATAGGATTTCATACGTCTTTTATAGTTGTAACAATCATATCTCATTGTAGCTCTAATCTTCACATTAAACGTTTAATCAGAACATCAGAAAACCAGATCAATGCTCGTAATCACCTTTACTTTATAGTTATAAATTCTGTGATATCAAATGTGAAGTTGTATTACCAAAACTCACCACAATTTATAAATCATAATAGATACACCAGTTAAACATTTCCAATACTGATATGACGAGATGTAAAATGTAAAATTACGTTCTTTTACTAATTGTGACTTCCTGTTCAACATTAATTCCCCTTTTATTTCTATACGATGATTATTCAGTGAAGTGTTTGTTTTTGTTTTCCAGTGTGATATTTTATTCAGTATAAAATTAATTTATTTGGGTGTGATGTTATTTCAAGATACGATATTCTTGCATTATATTAACGTAAATTATGCACAACATGACACGCAGCAAATGGTTTGTTATAACTCTTGGTATTTTTTATAAACGTGATTTTATTCCAGTTAATAATCAAAACGAGTGTACAATCAATGCATAAATGAATGTATTGTCTACTAGAATCTTCGTTGTGTTTTTAGGGGTAAATAAATCTCTATTTGTACCAGTATTCCATGTTCTTACTTCGCGTCGAGGGAATTGTAGTGGTTCCTCGTTTCAAGTATAAGGAATAAGCAACACGGATAAAAACAGAAAAAAACTTGTATAATAAATTTATAATTGACTGTAATTTACGGATTGTAAAAGATATGACAAGAATTATTGAATCGAAGGACAGCTTTTAATAAAGACTATATGGAGATTACAAAAACAAGTATTTAATTAAAAAAATTTATGAAAATATACGGGTTAATGTACTAAAGAATTCCTACCCAAATTTTACATTTCTCAAACCTGATCTTTTCCTGATAACCATTAAATTTATCAAACGATGGACAATACTACATTTGGCTTGTGGCTAACATTAGAATTCAAGATAAGCGTTTGGGCTTATTTCAAGCTCTTCAGCTAGGTATAAACTTATCACACTGTTCACGTTGAGACTCTAATTGAGTGCTTTTTGCTTCAAATGTCAAATGGGTTATCCACTGAACACAAATAGCTACTAACTTGATCAACAAGTATGAAGGCTTGTATTCTCCCCTTGTCGATATTTAGGACTGTCTCCGTTCTCAGATCTGGATCATCAGTGGAATACCTTGATAGAGAGTCACACGACGTTTTTTTGTTTCGTATCCCCCTAACAATGTAATTTAGGATAACAGTTTTTTCAGTTGGTGAAACGGCGTTTTGTTGTTATGTTGTAATTTAAAATGTGAATCTATTTGTATAATTATATTACACTTGTTATTATTATCATCAATCAGGCAACGGTTGACCAACAACTTGCTAATTCAAATAAAACAGTAGAATTTTCAACCAATTTACATAAAGAAAGTGAAATACAAAAGTCTAAACTGGAAGAACATATTAGTCAACTTCAACAAGAATTGTTAGAAGTTCAAAAAATGAATCGACAGTTACAATTAGATATTCGGGATTTAGAACGTAAGGTAGGTGAAGATTATCCAATTTTTTTTTCATTTCATGTATTTAACAAATAAAACTTAAATATTTTCTTGTCCAGTCAGATTCCATAATTGATATATAATTTATTGATTGGATTTAACATGATAAGGTGTTTGTCAGGATTCCCCAAGTAATTGGTTCCATTAAGAGGGAGAAATATAGGTTAGATTTTGATCGCGTCCCAATTTTAACTTCGATGATTTCTAACAATATAAATCCTACACATAGTCAACTGAAAAGAAACGCTGTGACAAACGGTATTCACCTCACATATTACTCAATATATCATTCATAACTTTCAGTTATATTCTTGATTACTAATTTGCTTTTTCTTCTTGTTACTATTTCGTTTATTCAAATATATGATAAATGTTACGACTTTTGTCATGGAATACTCTAATTCGATGTTGAATAATGTTGATAAACTACTTGATATCGTTTCGCCAATTTCTTTATGGGTTTCATTGGGTAGAACTTTAATTGTGATCCTAGATTTAGAACAAACTACTTTCTAATAACAATGAACAAATGATTGTGTTATTTATTGGTATGAATTAACTGATGTAATACAATAATAAAAAATAGGTATGTCACGATAACACAAGCTTCGACAACCAATATGATTGGTAACCGATAACCTTATATCTCTCTGAGACATGGAATTGTGAAAAAAAGCCTGACTTGAAAGAAATCACACTTTTCATATACATTTTCAAGACACTTAGATCTGTAACAAATAAGTGATTAATTTCTTTAAGGTGACTGGTTCAACAACAGTACAGGACTGTCCAATAAGTTTTTTCGGCCATTTAGCAGCTAAAATCAATTTCCAAAGTAAAATGATTTCTACTTCAGTGACCTAAAATAGTGGTTCCAAACTCGGAGTTCATGAAATCAGCTTTCACGTTACTTTTTTAAAGACTTTTCGCTAATTAACCTGCTTTAAGAAGATAGATTTTTCCTTAAAGCTTAATAAAACATCAGTTAGTATGTATTTCAGAAGTTTTAACATTGTATAGGCTGATTAAATTTGGAATTATTGCTTCAAATTCATGGTTGTTTACGTTTGATTATATTGGTTTGTAGTTATTGGAACAAAATCATGATCATACGAATCAAATATCTGCGTATAATGAAATCAAATACCAATTAAAAGTGCTAACCGAGAAGCATAATACACAAACAAAACAGTTGGATGATACAAAATTAAATGTTGAAACGTTAACTAAAGAGAATCAGTTACTTCTTGAACAAATTGAACAGGATAAACAAAAACGTAGACAAGTATGTTTGTAGATAATATGTATTTTACCTCATGGAAAATTTAAAAAGGAATTGTATTTTTGTTGGTCATGCGTTCCTCACAAGAGCTAACGGTCTTGATTTGGACCCCCTGTTAAAGTAGTCGTAATTATGCAGTAATCACAAATCACTACATTGACCTCATCATATCAGTAGTTACTAGTAAAATATTATCCACCTGCTTTTAAAAATTCTTTACGGCAAACTTGATAGAAAACTTCGGAAACTCAGTAAGTTTATATGCTGTCTTTGTATCTTTGCATGTTTTCAAATGAGGAAGGTGACCTACTTTTACATAGGACACACAAAACAAGCCCTTTCAGAAAGCATCTCTGGACACTACTCCGCCAGACTTTCTAAAGGATTAAGGAACTCAATCAAAAGCTGAAGCTTGGAGCAATTAGTTAATTGTTGTCACTCTGCTTCACCAGAAGCTCCTCTCAAAATCATACATCCATTCAGAAGAGTCATCTCAAGAGGACTGCGAACAAAAAACCTATATGCAACAGGGGCTATTGCTGTCCACTGGTCTAAGCTTAAGCTTCACGTACAAATACAGTGCATTCATTCCATCATTCTTCCATGATCTTAACCTTTCTTGATATCTTCCATGATCTATCGTTTTTAACTATTATTTCTACTACTTTCCAATTATTTCCACAATTATTAATTTAGCTATTATGACAACTTTTAATTATTCTGTCCTTGATAGTTATCGAGTCGACAATTATCTTCACATTAGCACTTTTCATCAGCCGATTATTATACAACTACCTTTCAGTATCTGATTTTCTTAAACAATTCATTATAAAAAACCACTGCAAGTTTTTTTAATTATTCGACACCATTATGTTTTACCCTAGACTAACAAATGAAATTAACAATAAATACGATTGTACAGCTTGTGTAAATGAAACCATCGGCACATTCAGCCGACAAGTCCCAAACGCACTTTCTAGGTTCCACTACTAGCTACCTCCCAGATTCACCAAAAGCCTGTGACTAAATGACTGTATTGAGGCAGATTGTTTACAATGCTCATATACTAAAAGAGAACGGTCAATGTTAATCTTAGTTTCAAATAACTGGGGAATACAAACCCTCATAAATAAGATTTATATTCATTGCAAAACCTGTATGAACTCAGTAGCTCATTTTATAACACTTTGAACATCTTAAGCGAAGCTTACTGGAACACCCAACAGATCAGTCTCAAGTGGGACAAATTTTCAACCTATATTCCACTGCTGGCATTATCTAATTTCACTAAAGACTTATGATAATTTTCTTTATTTATTTATAGTTTGTGTTCATAAAACCTGTAATGTGTATCATATCATCTTAACCATAGTATTGTTTTCATCCAAATTTTAGTTAGAGCAACGAATTCAGAATGAATCGAAATCACATGAAGAATCAAAAACTATTCTTACTAATCAAATTTCAGATTTGAATACAAAGTTAAACAACACTGAAAAACGACTACATGAAACCGAGAATCAATTTTATTTAGCTGAACAAAAAGCGGAATTAGCTTGTCAAAAAGTTAAACAATTAACTATTGAAGCAGCAGCTGTTAAAAATCTTCCTCATTTGGCAAATTATTCTGTACATGCTGATGAACATAATGATATTGTTTTAGATTCCAACTTACATCATAATAATGGTTTACACTTAGTTGATAATCAGAAAAATAGATCCAAATCAATTTCACATCAACTTCACAGTCGTAATCCTTCATCTGTAAAATTGTTAGTGGAAGATAACGCATTTTCGAATTCAGGTCTAAGTAACTACAAATTAACGGCCTCAAATCGATCTTCTATGAATTTTGCGCCATCCTCTCTCATCGATAATTTAGGGAACGTAAGACGATCTATGGAGAATTCATCAGATCCTGGTAAGTTGATATCAGTTGACTGAGATAATAAACCACCTCGAGTCAACCTTTGAGAACCAAGACACCACTGAAGAGTCCCGTACGAGAACTAAAATGCGGTGTCAAAGGCTTTATAGTTTTCAATGATTATCTAACTTAGGTCGATTCGTGAACACGCTAACATTCAGCAATCCCCACAAACCTCCATACTAGTAGATATTAAGTTTGATGTTTTTGTAACAATAATTTTTGTTGTCATTTTCTATAGTTGTTCTGATTTAGGAACATTATGAAAAATTATACCAATTTTTAAATATTCTAATAGTAGTTCACTTTTATTTTAGAATGATACATATAAGTAAACGATGCTGTTCGAAATTTTACGTTTATGAAGCTATAATAATGTCTATTTTCATTCTAATATGAAACGGAGTGATTCAATCGAAATTAGTATTAACAGTTAAACAGGTTCACTGGTAGTAATAAGCACAGAAAAAGTCTAAATAAACATGTCAATATGGGAGTTCGGTCAAGGCCTGTGAAAATAAATTCATTAAAATGACAATAATTAAATTTGGCGCAATAAAAGGGTATATGAAGAATCATTTTAAATATACAAAGACTGAAAAAGAGACACCGAAAAAATGAAGGACTAAAAAAAACAATAACCAATAAGTGACTGAAAGAAATAAGTGAAATCTTTTATTAAGTCTTAAACGGCTAAGGGGAAGAAAGTGATATGTGTTATTGTTCACTAAATAGTGGTATTTTACTTTTGCATATCACTGGATGGATTAATGTAACCAAAAGAAATGAATTTCATTGAACAAGGTGAATTTTATTTAGAAAAGTGCGATTCATCTAATAAGTTTTCTTTTGTCTCATCAAACAGTAAAAAAATTAAGAAATAACACAAGTTGGGGTATCGAAAGAAAGATACTTCTATAGTTATTAGGGTCCGATCTTAAACCTTTATTTTTGTATATACATATCACATCTTCATCTAGCCAGTGGTCTGGCATAGTGCATGAATTTCTCCATATCTTATTCATTATATTTAGTAGTATGTCAGTTAGTTTATATCCCCCATGCTTTATCATTTCAGTTGTTTTACCATTATTATAGGGAGTAGTTTGATTTTTCATGTTTTTTAAACCGAGTTTTATTTCATGTAAAGTGAGTTCAGGATCCTGGGTAGCTCTTATAGGCAGTTGATTATTATTTTGGTTTAATTCGGCATGATATAGGTTTTGATAGTGATATTGAAGATCACTATCTTTAACTTGATTTGTTTTTTTAGCCCTATACGGGTGACTCCATACAGTAGCCAGTATATCACCTAGCATTTTATATGTTAAGTGTAAGTCAGGTCATCCACAATACAATCTAACCAAAACTGGAGCTAAAACTAAAATAAATAAAAATAACTCTCAAAACGGCCAAAATAAATGTCCATACCCTGGTTGCAGTATGACACTTACAACTAAAAAAGGTATAATTAATTATTGCTATGTAGTACATAGGTGGTCAGCAATTACCGGACAAGATAAAAAATAATGCAAAAACAACTATTAAGTCCCGGTTGTTGTACCGTGCTTCAATGTAGCCTCTTCTCCAGAAGGGTCTACTAGGCTTTACCAACTTGTTTGACTGGAAGGGGCAGTAAAGAATAAGTATACAAGTCATTATAAAAAACTTTTAATCAAATTAATTTTATAATTGCATGTATACTGATTTCTCCGATAATACAACAAAACAGTGTATTAAAAGTAAACAAACCTATAGCATGAATAAAGATATGTAATATGGGAGACTGTTACCTCATTGTTCTTCAGTGTGAAATATTGAAGTCCAATCAAGATACGTCTCATCGTTTCTTTCAGATTATAAACGATCCATACTTTCTTATTGATTTCTATCTTGTTTTATTTATTTTGTTTTATTTTATCTTGTTTTATTCTACATGAATTCATCTAATTAATAATGTTACGTCTTGCCGATTGTGAACGCTATATTCAGATTCTAAGCTAGTTCCGTACCCCCGAGCTAGAACTATACACCGACTTGAAGACCATAGAAAAGGCACAAAGTGTGAAGGAAGCACTTTACTACAGGGTTCATTCATGTACAGAAAATATAGGGATTTTATAGTAATTTAAGAGTCCTTGAGTTTTACTGAAAGTTCTAGAATACTGTTAAACATAGTAGCAGTAATCAGCCAATCAATATCTCCACATGTGACTTCCATTTTCGTTATTTTAGTAACATAAATTCACATAACTTCTAATTAATCGCTGATTGGTTGAAATGCTCCTTGATTACCCCTGAGCTTGTCATGTCGCTTGCGAGAAAAATGCAGGGTCATCCCGACACATAATATATTGAATTACAATCATATTGTACAGTAAATAATTTCATTTTGTTTATAGTTTGAAAATCAAATAAATGTACTTTTTGTAATGGAATAAACTAACAGAAAAGTATATAAATTAAATGTTAAATAAATATGTTAACATTTTGATTTTCATAGTTGCAATCATTAGTTAATTGAAGCTAGATCACCATTGAAAACCTGGAAGCACTGGATGGCCGTTTTGTCCTATTATGAGACTCCTCAGCAGTGCGCATCCACGATCCCGCATTTCGAGTCTCACAATAGGACGAAACGGCCGTTCATTGCTTCTAGGTTTTCCATGGTAGTCTTAGCTTCAATTGACTAATGATTTCGACTATGAAAATACTGAAATCTCCATAAAACCCCCTCTGATTTTGATTATATTTTTCAGTTTAATTTAAATGGAATTATTTCTTCTTCTTCTTCAATGAATTATCTTGATTATCATTATTCATAGTAAACCATTGGAAATAAGTTGTGCAGGATTTTTTAAATCCGAAATAGTTGTATTTCAAAACATTTTAGTTTCTCTTCTTTTCGTAGATTTAAGATCAAAATATTTATTACATTTTCTCACTTTTGTTGACTTTCTAGCTTAAATTTAATGGTTAAATGAAAATTTCAGTCTTGAATTAACACATTGGTTCATCGTCTAAATTTAAGCTGAATTTAACAATGATCTATGGAAACTGTTTTTTCTTTATTTTACATCTTCTTAAAATACATTTATGAATAACCTTTTTATCTGTAGCTCATTATTTTCTATTCCATTGAAGATGGACTGAATTGTTTCCCATATCACGATACAGTTAGTCTTAGAACTCTTTAAAAGTAGTGCGTTATCAAATCTGCACAGTCGCATATATATATATATATATATATATATATATATATTACAGTACGTAAGCTATAGTATTTCATGAGAACTAAATTTATTGGTTTATCTTTTTTATGATGAACATTTCCTTGGCTAATAATTAGTTTATTATTGTTTTCTCAATATATGGGATCAGTTTATGTATGTTTTAAAAAAGTTTGTTCATCTTGGAGATAAGTTTCAATTATAATGTACTTCAATGACAGTAGGATTTATCATGTATCACAAATCGAAATGAATCCCAGAATGGAAGTCATTAATCTGATTTAATATGCTTGTTTGGTTGTTATTCTCCATTCTAAGTAACCGATTGACCTGATAAAGGACTGATTTGCATTAAAACATAAAAATCTCAATGTCATAGTTAGTCACTACTAAGTATGCTTTTAATATTTCATTAGATTTTGTGTGATGTGTGTATAAACTGTTGATATGTTCCAAGTTAAGATGAAGTTTATTTACTGATGCTATATCCCGTGCAGATTTATGAATGGTAACCTTGAGAACTATTTACGGACCAATGTGATATGTATATTTCGTATTGTATAATTGTTAAGTGACTAAACTATTCATATTCGTATCCCTCTTATTATAAGCTTCATTTTGACCCACGAACTATTATTACCATTCTTGAGTTCTACCCAGTCTATTGATTACTGTTCCCCCTATTCACAGCCACATATGGCCAAATCTTTTACAAACGTTATTTTCTATTTTATGGTATGATGTGGTCTGTTTGATTGGTATATAAATCCAGTATGTTTGAGAATAATGATTCATATTGCAGAGGCTGTTATTGGTGTTCTGGACTTAACTGGCTGGTCTAAGCAAAAAGCAGGACTGATAAGTACTGAAGACTGCTCACACGGCTTTTGTGTATAATTGCTGTGATCGATAATTCACTGTTCAATCGAGTTAATCGATATAAAAACTGACTCTTAATTCCCAATGCTTATTCAATGAGTACCATTTTCTAATGGAATTTACCACATAAGTTGTTTTTAAATTATAATTTTATTTCATCGTAATTGTATTTATATAAATTAGAATTGATCCATTGAAATTATTCTTTTCTCTTTTTTTCCAAATTTTTCATTCTTTTAAAGCTGGTGATTTAGAAACTTTAATCCGTCAAGTTACAAACAAATTAGATCAACAAGAGCGAAGTTGATTTACATCTCAGTTTTTTTAATAGTTTAACTATATTTACTTTCATTGATATGATTAAGGGTTATAATGAGTATAATTACTTTATGATGCTATTAGTTTACAATATGATTTTGTTACTTTTCATAACAAAAACTAAATATTGAACTACAATACTATACATATTTCTTATGAATTGAAACAACATAAGCCGTTAATAAAACAAGATTGTTCTCTTGAACACTATGTTTTACTGGGCTGCAAAAATATCAGATAACAAAAGTGTTGTGACTTTATAAGAAAATAATATAAAGGACGTACGCTAATTCGTTATTGATTTTTATGTTCGGCTTTTATCATGTGAATTATCCACCAATCAAAATACGACTCGTCTAATCTTAACACTGTGACAAATCAATGACGTTCGACCAGTATGAGTAGTCTAGCGTCCTTAATGGTCCCTTGTGTGCCTAGCCCTTCCAATTGAGTCCAGAACACCAATTACAGCTTCAGCTATGCGAATCATTTATTTCAAGCTTACTTGGTTTATATACCAGATAGACAGACCACATCACATCATAAAATAGAAAATAATATTTGTACAAGATCAAGCCAAATGTGGCTGTGGACATGGGGGCAGAGTAATCAATAAACTGAATATAACTTAGGGACAGTAATTCGGATAGTAATAATCCATTGGTCAAAATGAAGCTTAGAATAAAATGAATAAAGATATACACAATCTAGTTACTCAATAGTTAGACAATAAGAATATATATAGAATGATCGTCCATTAATAGGTCCCGGAAGTTACACGTACTTGTTTTCTTACTAGGATATAACAAAAAGTAATTGTAATTTCCGTGTTTGTATGAAACAATTATATATCTGAGTGTAAATGGCTATCGAAAAATATATTAATAATGGATTCTAGACAAGTATGTCTTTATTTTATTTTGTCCTAATAATAATAATGTTAATAATAAGGGTCCTAAATATATACAATATTTTGTTTTGATAAATAAACAATATATAATTACTGCTTTATTGACAACATAATGGTGAAGAGGCAGAAAAATATCCTTAGATTTGTGTATATATATTTTTGACATTTACTAAAGATGAAATTTTTAGTTTAGTTAGTAAGAGCCAGTAAATCAGTTTAATTGTATAATTCTTAACCCAATAAAAACACTTTGAAAGGAAGTTTTCTCACAAAATAATGTTTAGTGGAAAATTATCGAAAATCATAAAACATCTTACGGTTGTTTTGTGTTTGTTTCTAGGTCCTTAGCAGTATTAACTTTTGACAGTGTATGTTTAAATGTAAACTTATATGTCTCACGTCTGATATTTTCTATTTAGATCAATGAGTTGAAATTTTTAACTTCAGTTTGTTTGGGTTATAATAAGATTTTTTATTCAATGGTCGCATAACTGAAATCAGGGTCGCTTTCAATTCGTTATGCAAGTGTGTGTTTTGAAATCATCTATCGGCTAAAGGTGTGAATGAAACATAAAAATCATCTTAGGAGCTATGAGTACTACTACTACTTCGTTCAGAGTAAGATAATATAACCCTCCCAGTTGTTCTATTCCAACAATGGAGTTAGTTAAGATTGCCCAATCAATTCAAATTCGTCACTGATGATATCCTTGTAGCAGCAGTGGTGGTGTAGATCTGTTACTTGGAGAACGGGATTAGATCTTAAGTATGTCGTTAATGTTATCTTACCATTTGATGATAAACGTTATACGGAAATGAAATGGAAATCAGTATCAGCAAGTACGCTACGCACTGAGCGAATTGAAACATTGACTTTAGTATTGAGGATGTGTTTTGCGAATTTCATATCATTCGTTTTCATATCACTACATTTTCCGATGACTGGGTGGGATTAGAATAGCAAGAATGTGGCCTACGCACGATTTTGGACCTTGATGAGAATGTCTCAATATGACTGATACATCGGATCATCAAGACACCGTCTTCGAGATATTAGAAACCATATAGATTTTAGTGTTATCGAACATTTTTGAGAAAAGGAATTGATGACGATCCTCGTTTAGTTTTCTACTAAGTTATTTAAAAAAGGGAGATAAATTTTACTGAAGCGCAATAAATATTTTCATGCTGTCTTTCTGAATAAATTGTAATTATTTTATGCAGTTTTCCTCCTGGTCCTCTTTAGTTCTCCGATTCATAGCTTCACTTGCGTTTTGCATGACTTTAAACTTATTGTGAACCAGAGTGTATTTACTTTAAAAATGTTGTAGTAGATGCCATTAAAAAAACATTCGATTAACAAAGGCTCCTCTGCGCAGGTTTCTCCAACGGTATAACGCGAAACATAAGCCTGAAAGCGATGTTAATTAGTAATCTATGCCTAAAAGAATTTTATAACACCAATTTAAATTTTATTTACAGGCTGTGACCAGTAAAAGTGGAAGAATAGACGACGGAAATTGTATTTATTTGAATCTCAACCCTAGCATGTGTACTAATCAGCTAATTAATAATGCCCGTCTTACAGATAAATAGTAAATATTGGATATAAATGTGGTTATACAAAAATTGTCGCAAATAATGAGGAGATTCGATTTTTACTTTGTCATTGCAAACGTTTCTAAATATAAATGTTTATTCAGAGGAAATCTACTGAAAATGTACTCGGACTAAACATACATTCTGTTGAGCTCTCATGAAATCGCTTAGCTTACAATCTATGTGGCACAGAAGTAGTGAAATTTTGATCAAGGTGCATCATTTTGCTCATGACTCTCCATCTGAATAGATCATAGGTATGTCTCTATAGTCACAATTGAGAGAGCATGCACTAAAGACGGAACATACAGAATTTACAAAAAATCCGTGTGGAAATTTTTTTCAGTGAAGGAAGGAATGCCATATGATGGGTGTAAGAAGTGGTCTCACAAGGAGTGTACCCATTTACGTCTCACCGCATAAAAAAGCCCGACGCCTAACTTCAATTGGCATCGTGTTTAATATTGTTTGTGTAAAAGTTGCTGATCTTGGAGGCGATCAGACTTCTGGCTTCGGTCACCAAGACAGTTATTGATAGCTGCACTGGTAACATGAAAACTGACAACGAAGAATATTCCATCGTAGGACTTAGAATCATGAGATGAGAAAACCTCTTAAAACAAACGAAGAGTAAAATAATACTGGATAACAGTGGTGACTATCCTAAAGTAGTACTTTAAGATTTGGATTAAACCGTCCCCGTCTCAAGTTGTCCAGACATGACTGACCTGTGTGGCAGCAAATGAACGACCGTGAGGAGGAAATGAATGGAAAGTAAAAAGTCATAAATTATACCTTTAGTGAACTGGGATAAATACGATTAGATTTATGTAACAGTATACAGAGTGAAACCAGGTATTAGTATAAACGTTTGTTCGGTTGATATGTCCATTTTATATATCCTTTCTGCATTACAGAATATACCGAAAAATTCCCGAAATAGAACTCAAATTACCCTAGTGTGTCTGATAAAAACGTGATTTCACCAAGTATTACTGTAATTCGCTATAAACAAACTACAGTGATTCGGAAATTAGACACACGCGTGATTTGGTAAAGGTTGAAGCAATTATCCGTAGCATCTCATCAGATTACTCTGCAGGATTACAGGGCATAAAGTTGACAAGAATAGGTCAGGGCATCGACGAGCATGTTAAACCTCAAACATACAAAGTCAGTAGTATAAACATCCTTTCCTTCGTTTTAAGTCCAATGAAAGATGGACTTGTGGGGTCATTATCTGTGAACTCACTGTTGAATATTGTATTTTTACACTCGGCGTCATCTATCATAGATCCTCCTGTTTAGCTGATTACTTTATTTTGGAGCACATTCAGCTGTGGTGCAAAAGTAACTAATGTACGATATTAGGAGATTTTATGCACCTGATATTAGTTGGATAAAGATAGTCACTGTGAAATGTGAAGACCTTTTCAATGGTAAGCTCCTGATAACGGTAATGGAGAATGCTTAGGCGCTCAGTGTATTCGAACGCTTTCGTTTTGGTTCAAACCAAGGGACTCTTTGTTAGACTTCGAAATCACTCATGCAATGGAAGATATTGTCTAAATATCCTTCCAACGTTGGCGAATAGTGGAGTTTTGTCATTATTGTAAAGTGCTTGTAACATAACACACGATCAGGTCAAGCCTCTCCCAAATGTATGGAAATTAAAATTATTGGCGATTCAGGGGTGTGCTGAGACTACGGACTGGGCAGAAAATGCTAACTTATAGCGATAAATAAATCCCAAAAATCAATAGCTCTGTTAATTTTCGACATTATATGCTGACTGTAAGATCCATTTAGAAGGTTTTGTGTACGAAAGTTCCTCCATACATACTTTTGCAACTTATTTCTGTTAGTTTCCTTGAGTATACATTTTGTTAGTCTTTATGATGCCATTTGAAATGGTAATATTTTATTTTATTATAGTTTTTCTCATTTTTCCTTCGCCTTTTTTGAGTTTCTATGTTCCTCCCCGAGCTGTATTTATATCGTTTTAGTTGATACTTAATATTGGTGGCAGCCATATTAATTGTTTCCCCCTTTGATTGTGCTGCTTGAGTTGACTTGGATTGTGCATTTTGATTGTGAATTGAAGCACTTTTCCGGAATTGGAAACACTTTGTGTTATAAAGCAAAAAACTATTATCTTTTGAACAGATTTTTACTTGATAGAATAACACATCTTCTGGCGCGCTCGGTAATTTTCTTGCATTCCTTATCGATCTGTCTATTTATTGTAATTTAGATCGATTATTGAGGGAACAATTATTGGTTGAATAACTGAGCGGTAATATTTGTTTAAGTATTAATTTAAATTTGTATTTATAATGAAAGTTATTATTATTATTATTCACAAACATCTTATGGGTACATAAGTGCTGTGAAGAAACCATTTCGGGTTTCTTCGAAAATGTAATAATACACAATTTTCAATAATGTTAGCATTACATTTGCCATGTTTGAGAAAGGAA